GACGGTCTTCATCTTTTCCCCTCTTTTGTGAACTGGGCTTTCTTGTTGTTGTCAGGCGGCGGTTTGGGAAGCTGCCCAACGTTTCTTTAGTTGGTTTAAATAAGGGCACAAGAAGGAGGAGGAAAAGGATGGGAAACACACAGTACCCCTAACCCGACCACCCCTGACAGCTCTACTGCTTTGTTCCCCGTCCACAGCATCCCCCTCCCCTCCAACACACACACACACACACACACACACACACACACACACACACACACACACACACTCCTAACCACGGGATCCTCTCAGTGGCGGAAAATCCTTCCCATGAGCGGTCCGGCCCTGCGGAAGTAATTAAACATGGGTAGTTTGGTGTAATGGACATTGTCATGCTGCCATTAACTGATCCCCAGGCTCACAAACTCAGAAGCCTCCTGATAGAAGTGTGTGTGTCCTAAACGAAAGCCAGAAAATACCATTTCTACCTAAACGTTCTGTTGTGAGGTGGAGCAGATCGACGGTCAGTCACATGCCAGCAGTTTCATCTGAGTAGTTTAAGAGTTTAGGGGACCACCAAACCCATGAGGGGAACCAATCAATATTTACCCGACCAGACCAAAGAAGCCAGCAGGCCACAGAGCCTCACCACCAGCACCGCTAACTTGCAATAAAGAATCAGAATCGATCTGCTATTCTATTCCACATCCTCCTTTCCCATCATCACTGCTGACAATTAATTGTAACAGACTTCATTGCATTTATGGTTCTTACACTTCACGGATTACTTTTTCACAGTCAGAAGGTGTGTGAAAGTCTTTAGTATCTCTCGCTAATTAAGTGTAACAGCTCATACGCGCTGCGACAGTAATTACAGAATGACTTGAATGAGCCTTCCTGCTCTCGCCCACAATTCCAGACTAAGTCTCTCCTGGAAAATTGTCAAATTAAGCCTCATTAAGTGTGTTTTAATTAAAGCCCTCGGAGGGGAAACTCGTAGAAGGGCTTTAATTACAACACACTGATAAGTAAAGATTTTTTTCAAAATTTCCAACCATATACTCCGTAATTATATCTATAAAGCTGAAGGAATTCCTTTGGCTGTGCTGCACCGAAGCACTGATTGAGTGGTTTATAGAGCAAGATGGCCTTAAACGCAGAAAAGTGCTTCCTGACTTGGAGTTACAATCCACATCTGTGGCGTTACAGTTTGGCACAACACGCTGCTTTAGATCACAGCTCGCCGCGGCGCTGAATGAGGCCACGGGCAGGACGGCCGCACACCCGCCGCCTGCCTTCAAACTCTTACATGTTATAGTATCAAAAAAGAAAAAAATCACAAAAGAATGTCTACCAATATATAAACAAGGTTATTGTTTTTTTAAATCTTTAAAGAAAAAAATCACAGTACAATATGTCGTAATGTTTTAAAAAGGTCAAAGTATAAGTTACGCTAAGTGTCATTAAAAAGCATAAGAAGCTACTGGAATGTTACATAAATAATGTTCCTGGAACATAAAAAATAACTTTCCCGGATCCTTAGATAACGTTTGGAAAAACCTCAGGAAAAATAATACTTAGAAAAAATATATTTCTGGAGTATTTTGTTCTGATAGCATTAGCTTCCTGCTGGTAGTTTTCCTGAGGATCCCGGTAGGATATTTTCCCATCCTTTCTTTAATATTCTAAAGTTAGATAACCTCCAGGGATAGAAAGACATGGAACTCAAGTCTGCACAAAACAAAATGATACTGGATGCTATAATATCACTAAAAAGTATTGTATGTTGTTGAAATGAGATAAAAGGTCAAGGAATATTACGTAATCACATGTCATTGTATGTTCTAAAAATGTCATAAGTGAAAATATAGTATGTCAAAAAACAGAGTAAAGAATAAATTATATAATTAAAATGGCTTTAAAACGAGTCCATTATCATTAAAAAAGTAATAGTACAGTATATCCTAAAATGTCAGAAAAGGTAATTGTATAATACGTTGTCAAAGAATAATGTCCATGCTAATTGTTCTTAAATATAGTTAATAAATAAATACCATATGATAAATTTCTTCCGCATACCAGCACACCAAACACCCCAGGGGGGCGACTCTGAAGACCCTTTCATTCCGGGAAGCATTTTTTGACTTAGAAACACCACAGACCCACAAGAGGAGAATAAAATCAATATTTTAAGGCTTTGTCATCCAGAACTAACCATTCCTGTTCGCTTCAAAGGACCAGTGTCAACGGGCCGGTATTCTTGGAAGAAACATGAGTCATGTTAAACCGTTTTACGTTTTGACAAATTCCACCATCGTGTGAAATGTGAGATAGGAGCGAAAATTGAAAAGCTTTGTGCGTGTGTGCGCGTGTGTGTGTGCGTGCGTGTGTGCGTGCGTGTGGTAAACACGCAGCGACGTGGTCATTGGAGGAAGCAGAGTTACAGAACGCCTGAGCAATGACATCACTGCAAATAAAACGGGTGGCAATTACCAAATGGTAACCGGCTCCCCAGCGGTGCAAGTGCAGCAGAGCTCACACAATGTGGGGAATGACTCGACAACTCTTTCTGCCCTTTACACAAACATCAACATGTTGTCCACAATAAGCACACACAGAACTTGATACAGAAAACACCAAATCGGTGGAAAGCACCCGGAGCCCACGTCTGAACGCGGTGGGCTCCTCGTGAACGGGGCGTCTCCTCCGCGTGGGGGACAGATTAGCACCGGCTAGATTCACGGTGCGAATGCAGCTGTGAACCGCAACCTGCCCGGGATTTCCTAAAGAAACAGACCTTTTTCCAGCCTCGTTTCCCTTTTGTTGCACGAGGGACGAAAGGAAGTGACTTCAGAGTTTAAATACTGTACTAAATTGTAACTTGCTGTTGTGTAGCATTCGGCCTCTCTCGTCTAGTGCCATCGTTTTGTTCAGGTTTTCATGTCAGCAGTGCTGTGTAACTGTGGAATAAAGAGGCTCAGGTGAAATCACTCTAATAACTGCAGGGGGGCTTTAAATAAACTAAATAAATCAGACATGAGAGAAAAGGTTCTTGCAATGGAAACTCCCCACAGGAAGACAGCGGTTTCCCAAACCGTCCAATCTCCGCTTCTCTCTGCGTGGATGCAAAGGGCCGTGTGAGTGTGTGTGTGTGTGTGTTCTGCTAATGAAAGACTTGTTTAAAGGAGTTCTGAAAAGACGAGGCTCTTGAGGACACATGCTGAGGTCCACGGCTGAACGCAAACTCAGAAGAGGTAAAACGAGAGGCGGAGATGGGAAAGCAAGAGAAATAAGATATGGGGAAAGATCCGCCACGCTTGAAAGGAAGACAGTGCCATCTAGAGACGCCATGTGACAGTTGTCCCCTTCATGCACGAGCACGCACACAAAAGCTGCCACTTTCAGGTGAGCTTGTTGTTTTTCATAAATAACTGAATGATCAAGAAGTGCTTGTTACAGGATGATTCTTTTGAGCGGTCCACGGCTTTTTAGAGAGAGACCCCGTCCGTCTTTACGGGACCTTTATTGGATCAGCAGCCCTCTTCTGGCTTGGCCCATTGGCTGCGCGCTGCGTCCACTCGCCGCTCCCAGGACCCGGACTCTCCAGTTGGGTTTCCACCAACTCAAACTTCGTGACAACAGCTTCTCAACAATAAAATAAAGTCTCCACTCAGCACTTTGTCACACCGGTATTGTATTACTCCGTGCAGATGTCACAAGTTACCAGACAACATGACAGCGATCAATCAGGGGAGTGACTGACTTGTGTGGTAATCAACATGGTTAAGAAGCGTGCCTTGTTAGCACACAAAGCCATTGTGCACTGATACATTTAGGCAACAGAAAAAAAGTAGTTTAACATAATTTAATTTTTATATGAAATCTGATCTCTGCAGTTAAACCACCCTGAGCATTTAGGACTTATTGGAAACAGATTCTAGACACGAGTCTGTAAAAGGATCCATAATGCGGATGGGATGTCATTAACTAGTGTGCTGAAGCTCTGCAGGGTCCTTTGCCTTGAAATTGACAGAGGAGAGATTTTCTTCAGCTAGATTTGATTTAATCAAATGAAAGATTTAATTTATACTCCCAGGATTCTGTGGCGATATTTTGGACTTGAACAGAGCTTGTGCCGAGCTGCGAGAAAAGCAGGACGAATCATGTTCTGCTAACAGGACCAGAAGCATGGAAAGCGGTAGCACTTTTTGACGCCCGGCCCAGGAGAGAAGGAACGAATGTACATGAACTGTATGCACACAGACATGAGACACAAAGCCAGACGGGCTGACATTTCATGCTGACCGGTAACAACGTCTGAGAAACAACACAAAGCCATTTATATGTGCAACAAACGTGCTGGGAAGCAGACAGGTGCAACAGACTCACAGAGCAGCCAGTTTTCAATATGCTTGAACGGGGCGGGTCTTACACGATGGTGACCGAAATAAGTAGTTTGTTCCCAAACGCAGAATCTTCTCCTGCTTCGGTTTACAGTTAAGATCAATTGCAATACTTTTTATTCATATTTCTTTTCCTTAAATATCCACAATTTTATTTTGAGTATTTCTGGTCTCATCAAACTTAACTCAATGTTAAGGCATACGGCTAAAATAAGATAATTGACTGTAAACACAGAATGAGAAACTAAAGTGCTTGATGCATCAATAGAAGCATAATACAAACTTGAACATTTCTTTACACTTGTACTTAACATTAGTAATAATTAGCATATATGATACAGATATATATATATAAAAATGACCTACAGTCTGAACTTAATAAGTACGTGGATCTTACAGCTTTTCATCTTCCTCCTAATGGCTCGCAGCACTAAAATTGCAAACAATGGGGGGGGGGGTGCCATGCATCCGCACCCGCATCGACCCGCTGTGTGGGAGCAGTGCAGAGGGGCGTCACATGCACTGAGGACCGGCCGACAAAGCGAGAAGAAGAAGAAGAAGGGAGAGCGAGTAAGACCAATGCTGTGGAGATCCAAAGGAACGCCTCTGGTAGCTGCACATGTTTGCATTCGTTTTCGTGAAAGATCTCAAATCCTGGTTTACATAAACAGTTCAATTCAAGAGCTGGAAGTGGAAGTGGGTGATCTTCTTCTGACAATCAACACATGGCCTGCTAGGTCACAGCTTCTCACCAAATCACATTTTCACACGCAAGCCAAGACTTACTAACGCTTCTCTGATAGGTCGATAAATCGTTACAACAACAACAACAAGATAGGACCATTGATATAAAATGAACTGTCTGCCTTAGCGATTGGCGAACAAGGATCACAAAATTGTGTTGTGCTGAACTATTTCCCTTTGTTGTTCCTCTAAGCTTTGGGCGGGAAGAGCTCCGGTTGTCCGTTTTGATGAAGCAGGAAGTTCTTGATGGTTTTTGGCAGCGGTAGCGAGGTTATGTGATGTAGCCGGTTTTTGCCCATGGCTCTGCGGATCCCGATGCGACACAGGTTGGTCAGCCTGCGAGGGCATCCTGGGGGGGCAAAGCAGAGGAGGATCTCCTTTACAGCCAAAACCCTGATAACAGGACACCGAACGGCCTAATTAGAGCTCTGCATTTATATTTGACAAAAGCACACGACTCACTGATAAAACAAGGGCTCGTTTCTATTTAAGTGTCATAACAGTGTGACAAGAATCCAGAATGGACAAGGCTGTGAAATGACAGTTTCCAGGTGTAAATATTTGGCCGTGGACGACTCAGAGAGATCGTTCTCTCTTGACGGTGGCTGAACAAACACAGCGGCACACTAGTAGGATGGTTGAAACAGAAAAGCGCTGCTGGTGGGTATCAACCTGTAAAAGGCAATCAAGGTAACTTTCTAAAAAGGAACCTTATGTGAAAGTTTGGGGAGATTTTCTAAAAAGTGAATTATGATATAAAACAATGATATAAAACTTTATAACCAGGGACCCCCCCCCAAAAAAGTGTTCTACACCAGTGGTCCCCAACCACCGGGCCGTTTGGTACCGGGCCGCACCACAGAAAGCTTATATATATATATATATATATATATATATTTTTTTTTTTCTGAAAATTGACTGGATTTTCTCCTAATTATGTGCGCTCGTCCCGCTGACAGATTCCCCACGAGTCACCAGGCGTTTTTCTTCACGTTTACAATTGTCCTCTTACTGTGCACGTGCACGGCAGTTTCGCCCACCAGCGAACACAGAGCGCGCGACTACTACACCCCCCCCCCCCCCCCCCGGGGAACTTCTCGACCGGTCCGCGAAATATTGCCTGACATGAAAAAAGGGTGATGACCCGTGTTCTACACGACTTAAAACACATTAATTTGACTATAGAATAAATCATCAAAAGACGAAAAAGCAGTTCCTTTCCAAAAAATCAGAAACCTCCCCAAGCTTCCTCCTGACTAACTCAGCTGTCACTCACGCCTCGCCTCCAGGAACACGCTGAGCGCCTCCGGATCCACCTTCCTCCGGTTGGGACCCTCCAGCTCCAATCCGTCCCAGGGCACCAGGGCCGGGTCGGCCCCGTGGTCCAGCAGCAGGTGGACGAAGGCCGCCTCACACCCGTGTCGCAGCACGGCATCCAGCAGGCAGGAGGCCAGGCCGCGGGTCAGGGTCTCCCGGCAGACGGGCCCCGTGTAGTTGAAGTCGGGCTGAGCGCCGGCCTGGAGCAGCAGCCGGAAGCTGTGGAGGTGGTGGTAGGCCGCGCTGATGTAGAGAGGACACACCACCAGGGTGTTGAGGGTGCGAGCGCTTAAGAGGAGGCGGGGCCCCAGCTGGTGGTCCATGTCTACGTCAGCCTTGAACCTGGACGGAGGGAAGCACAGTTCTTAAATGGGATTGCCTTTAATAAAAAGAGATGAATCTCGATAGAATGCAGAGGAAGTGGTCCTGAAATAAGCTAGAATGAAATTACACTTAAACAATGAATGCATAGTAATAACGGGTGGATTGCACGAACAGCATGTATTTCAAGTCACAACACCAACACACAAACATGTTGCACAACAATTTGTTGCAAATAAACTTTGTCATGCTGCTTTGAGTAAAGTCTCCAGTCTGGTCCTTGTTTTGTTCGCTAGACAACGGCCTAAACAAAAGATAAATGCACACGCACACGCACACGCACACACACACACACACACACACACAGGTATATGAAAATAAAATAATGAAATAAGGAGGCTTAAAGATGGACTAGTTTGTCATGGAGAGGAGAGACGCCTTCAAGCCGTTAAAAGACGACCCTCCTACCTGATGAGCTCCTGCAGTACGTCCAGGCTTCCCACCCGCGCGGCGTGGTACAGCGGCGTGCTGCGATGGTGGCGACTCCCGTTGGGGTCGGCTCCGGCTTGGAGGAGGATCCGCACACAGTCCAGGTGGCCGTTCACCACAGCGACGTAGAGGGCCGTCTGACCTTTCACATCGACCAGGTCCACCGCGGCGCCCTGGCCGATCAGATAGGCCACGCAGGCGGCGTGTCCTGCCGTGGCCGCGATCCGCAGCGGGGTGCAGGGCAGACAGCCGCAACACCAAACGGACTTCTCATTGATACGCCTGGCGCCCAAAGGAGACAAGGGAGTCCTTAATGGTTGTATCCCAAAGTCCAACAGGCCATTGACGATACAACCACACGAACAACAAAATAAACTTGGTCATTTCAAACAGCTACCTGGTAAACTGCCTTCAACGCCACTCCCCCCGGGCAAGTTTGGATAAAGGCAGGGCAGGGAGAAACCCAACGTTTGTCTTTATTGAAATAACAGCATGTTGTAAAGCATGTGGAATGGAGATGAACTGCCCCGAGCCCGTAATAATGGGTTGGCTGGGTGTGGAGTGCGAGTGCTGAATACAACCACTGTGGGATTGGGGTTGAACGAGTGCTGACCGCTGTTCGATGGTCACGCCTGGCTCCGACATTGTAAGCATTACACGTTTCACTACCTGTGGCCCCCGGTCCCTCTATTACAGCCCCACTGGGCCCAATCAATCAACCAGGACGCACACGGGGAGAAAAAAGGGGCGTGTTTCGCTCAGAGGCAATGGCGCTGAAAGGTCCAGCCTGTGGCCGTGTGCTACACGCCGGTTCGGTGGTAGAGACGTGCGAGGGAATGTTCTGTACGCCGAGGGCTTACAGGGCCGCCACTCAGCAGACCTACCGAGCCACGCGGCACCGAAACCACAAACCACTTTGGTCCAAACACTTTGGCAGAAAGACGCAGCATGCAGTGCGACTGCTGAAACACACAAAACTAAAAATGCAAAAAGAGATTTCGATCAGAAGCCTCACTGCCTCCCACCGTCTGAAGCAGTCTTCCTGCAGCAGGCTCCTCAGGGTGTCCAGATCTCCCACGTAGGCCGCATTGTGCAGCCGCATGTCGTCCTGCTCGAGGGGTTTGTCGCAGAACTGCTCCTGGAGCCATTCCTTCAGGTTCTGGCCTGGTGAGGACACACAGATCAGAGGCTAAGGCTCTGATTTGTTGTGCGTTTTCACGCTGAATGACTTATGAATGATGTATCTGGTACACAACTGACAGTTTTGTGTGATTCCTTATTTTGCAGATGAGTCGTTTAACGTCAGCTAATAGACTAGTCGCCTGTAAGAGGTCACTAAGAATTTATTTGGTTGACAACAGTCAGTTTTTAAGGTTTCAGAATGCAGGATATTGTGAAAATACACCAATGAATTATTTGAGAATCATGCATTTAACAGCACTTTTCTCACAGCATACTAATTCGTTGCATAACAAGTGCCGTGATGACTGTAGCAAGAAGCAGTATTTCTGAAACCCTCACAGAGATCTGGGTCCCTCAAACAGACGAGTTACCCACAACAACAGGAGAACTCAGGCCGCTCTGCCCACACGTGGCAGGACTATAACGTTATATTGCACTTGTTGTCAATGTGCAAAAAGGCTCTGATGGCCCTGAACGCATCCATCAATAACAGTGGGACGACATGGGGCGCACCTAGCAGAAGGGGGGTGGGGGGGGGTCCGCCTCAATAACAACAACTCTGTGTCACGTGTCGCGAGGTCTCCCTGCGCACGGACAGGGAGGAGAGCACCCGCATTCCCGGTTACCTGCTGCGGTGGCGCTGGGCAGATCAGACACGGTGATGAGGGGGGGGGACCGGGTCCTGGGCGGGTGGTCGTCATCAGCCCGCGGACCGTCGGCCATGCTGCTGCACTGTCACACCTTCACCCCCCACCCCCTCTTCCCCCCCCGGAGGATCGGAACAGGTCTCCCGCACACACGGTTGAAAAGAACACGGACGGAGTGAGAGGAGAGACGCCAAAGCGCAGGAAGGTGCGCGTGTTGACGCGCGCGCGATCCTGCGTAACTTCCTGGCTGCGCTCAGCTGGCGGATTTAAAGGGGAAACGTCACAATGTCCGTGAACAGAGGAAATGAGTTCGTAAAGAATTCACTTTTCAATGATAATGAATCGAAGACAAATAAAGGAATAACGATGGCTGGAACTAGACTTTAGAAATACTGGTGTCAATGGTTCAAAATGACGCTGTTCAAATCCTAAATCCAGGGGGGAAACTCTTTCAGTTGGTCTGAAACAAACAAATATTGAAATGACTCAATGAATTTTCCTCTTTATCTTCTTTATAAATGTAATACACACAAGTCCTCGGCACCATCAATAGTAGCAAAGTAACAGTACGTAGCATTTAGGGGAATAGTGATCGGCAGTGATGAAAATAATGCGAATGATTCCTTCAGTGTATAATGAAACGCAGATGACAACCATTGTGCTTTTGTTGCCTTAATGAGCAGTTTATATGTCCTCACCTCTTCACGGAGCCAGCCGCCATGTTTCAACAGCAGCCCCGAGGCCTCCCGGTCCCACGCACTGCACCTTTAACAGAATGGTGGGCTCATCTGTGGTTATGACAATGAATGAAGCCCTCACCTCACAGAAGGTCGTTTTAAAGGTCACGGAGCAGCACCGAAAGGAATGCAGGGCCCACGGCCTCACATACAGCTCCTAAATGTATACACGCTGCTCAGCTGCAGCAAAGATGCTGCGTAAACCCTCTTTTTGAATGTTGTGCAGAGTGCTTTGCGTGGGTAACGTACAGCAGAGAGGCATGCATGAGCCTGGTGCTCCACAAATAAACGTACGGGTCCAACCGTCTGATCAGACAAAGCCGTTTCATCGGGGAAACCTTTTTAAATTCTGGAATTCAGTCATCATATCTCCGTTTAGGGAGCAGTGATTGGCAAATACAATTTTGTGATTGAAACCCATTCTATCACAATACCTGGGGACATAGTGTGCAGCTGATCCCCGACTCTCAGGTTAATAACCATTCACGGGTAAACGAATGAATGAAGGTCAGCTCGGAGAGGTCATGTGACCACTTCCAACCCCCGGCCGTGTGATTTACACAGACAAAGTGTGGTGTAGCGATTGGGCCTAACATAAGGACAACAAAAGTGAAAGTAAACGGTGTGGTCACTCCTCAGCAGCAAGATCCATTGTAGAATTAAAACGGGGAAAAAAAAGAAAAAAAAGAGGCTTTTTCCTTAAATAGTAAAAAAGGAAAGGGAAACGCAGCTGGACAACAGAGGACGGCGCGCTCGCCTTACCTTAATCCACCTGTTGAGACTGGGCCCGGTGTCTTTGTCCAGTCCGTCTGCTCGGGGGCTTTCACATAAATCTCTGACTTGCATCACAAATGCTCCATCCAAATCTCGCTCAATAGTTGTTAGAGGGGCTTCCTATTAAGCTTTGTGCGTGTTGCAGCTGTTTCAGGGCTTTCCAGACCTGCTAATGTTACTCAAGGGTCTCAATAAGAAAAGTGAAATGTTTTACTTCTGTCTTGTCGGACATGGCTTCAAAAGAAAAGGAGTCCCGCTGAGTGTGATTTGGCCGCGCCAGACGCCTCGAGGACTCGTGAAAATCACAAACCAAGGTCATTTATCATGTTGCTCTCGCTCCAGACCTCATTAAGTCTCCATTATGGGGCCAACTTGACTTTAGGTCTAGAGCTTTTCTCTAACATCTCGGAGCAACATTCTTAAAACAACAAGAAACACGTCTTTACTGCAACGTAACCATTTATTGCACGCCACTACAAAATTATATAATTTTTGAACTATGATACAATCTCCACATATACAAAATGTACAGTTTAAAGATTATGATACAAGTAGTTTACATTGTTTCATATAAGACAAACACGCAGGTTCTCACTTTCCACAGGTTTATGTAATATCTCTATAGCTGACTTTAACAGATTACATTTGATGGACTAAATACAATACTGATGTGAAAAAGAAGTCAAATAAGACTACAAATGAAACCTTTGGCTCCTCCTAATGAGAGGCTCTCAAAAAGATCAGTCAAATGGATCAAATTCAAATTAGCACTGAGCAAAGGCAGTTTGTTGAAGGTCGAATGAGTGAAACTCGACTGCATTGTTTTCCTGTTTATGGCCATTAACACAACTATTGTACTGACCATGTACGTAAGAATAATGGCTTACATTCATCAATCAAACCAAGACTTTTAAAAATAATTTGGTGTAAACACTGGAAATGAATCCGTGCAGTAGAACTAGAGGTAGCAACCCACAGTTGTCCAAGTAATAACGGCAATTTAAAACTACATTGGTACTAGAATATGTTAACTACATTCTCAGAGGGGAAAACGCCCACTATGCAAGGAATCCCCATGACTGGTCTGATCTTCTGTTGTTTGCATTTCATCCACACATTGTGGTAAGGAAACCGGGTCAGTGGTTTCTTTCACACTCACTTTTATCCTTTTTTGCTCCTATTATCGGCCTAGTGTTGCCTCATGTTGTCGTATTTGCTACATCTGTCAATCACATTTTTTGTCCATATTTACAACATTGTTTAGTTTTTGAAAAACAGAATCAATCTCTTTCTTTTCTTCATTTGTTTTGGAAGAGTAACTTGAAGAAGGAAGCGTAAAGAACAAAGTTTGAAAGCAAAAGAAAAGCCCAGTACGACATGTAACGTACATTTCAATCAATCCGCCCATCAGGACTCAACAGTCCTCTTCTTGGCTTCATTCGCCAGCCCTTGAAACTGTAGTTGGATACATATTTAATTACTTGTGTATTGCTTGTTGAACAAATACTAGAGCAGATGTCATATTCACCTTGGAAACAGCACTAACTGGATTAAAAGTTCCCCCACAGCCAAGAGGCAATGAAACAAAACCCACCACAATGTGCCACAACTTTTCTGCTCGGTTAAAAAAATAAAAGTTAAACAGAAAGTAAATAGGTTTCAAATTGAAGTTCAGGGATCAGGAGTGAGAAAACAAACGTTTATGTTTTACTACTCTATATAGTGAATATATAGGGCTTTTGATGACATCATCCCAAATGAAATGCAGCTATTAAGTGAACTGTGCACAGGCTTGTTTCACAAAGGCACCATTACAGGAAAGGGGTAGATGGTCGGTCAGTTTAGTGCGCTGAGCAAGAAGATTCAGTTAATGTATGCATCAGTCATTCAAAGCAGATAGAAGAGTAGAGTCGGACCTCCAAGCCATCACTTGGAGCCTCTATTTACCAACACCTACAGATGGTGCCTGATATGTTTGGGTCCATCTCCTTTTGTGACAAAACCAGCTCAAGGTTCAGCGTTTGGTCTCAGAGAAGAACAACTCTCGTCTTACCATCATTGTGAACGAGACACTGTTCATCCCCAGACATCCAGTGCATTTATTTGGTCTTTCTTTTCTTCTAACTACAGTTAGTTTGTCACGTCAGGGCCTGGAGGAGAAGTTGATTCCTGTCACCATCTTCTGGATCTTCTCCTCATTCTTCAGAATGTTGGATCTCACGGCACAAATCTTGTCCTGCTGGTCCTTGATCAGCTGCTCCAGCTCAGCCAGTTCCGACTTCAGAGGCTCCACCGCCCTGTCCGTCACTCTGCAGCACAAGCATGCAAACACACACAACAACATTTTAAAAACAGGTTGAACAAAAATAAATAAACAAACAGACACTTAGCTGTTGGAAGATCCTCCTCAAACTGCCACCTTACAGTTGCTCAATTTTGATTTAAGACAACAAGGCATCACACAATATTTAAAAATTGCACAAGAAAAGGTTATTGAGGGTAGAAGCTTAACATCAATTTGGAGGTTTAAAACCAGAGCAAAGACAAAAAAGCAACACATGCGTAGTTGCTGAATATGAACTCCTGATATCGGTACACAAAATGTTAAGATAGCACGTTGCGCGGGACCGCGGCTCAGCCTTTGAAGTGTGCAGCGTGCGCGCCGACCTCACCTCTGCTCCTGCAGCAAAGCCTGCGCGTGCTCCTTGTTCTCCCGCCGCCAGGCGCGCAGTTCAGCCTGCATGGCGTCCACGTCCTCCTGTATGTAGTCCATGATCTTACCCAAGGGCAGGGCGCTGCGGCACACCGTCTGGATGGACGAGCGCAGGCGCTCTATCTCCCGCGTCACCATTTCCCGCTCTTTCTTCTTTGCAGCGTCAGACACAAAGCCCTGCGAGTGGAGGAGAAAGGCGATTTAGGGAAGAAGAGACATTTGAGCGGTGAAAACCTGAGGGGGGACGGGAGGCTGGGTGCTACGTTTCCGTGGCGACATCGTTGGTTGAGACACTGTTGTCAGCTGTAACAGTTGTGTGAGAGCAGTGCAGGCTCAGCTACGTCAACAAAGGATGGAGAATGCCCCCCCCCCCCCCCTCTTCTCTCCCCTCTCCCCTCAGGTGGGCCTTACTGCCCTGTATCTTGTACAATGCAATGTGTCTTTTTCTGTGTTATTAACCATTTAGCACCTTTAAACTAAAACATGAATAAAACAGCTGTATGAACACACAAAAAAAATACTTGGGCCTCCGGAGACCAAAACATAACAAACCCTCTTTAGCAATTCTACCTTTGCCAGCAGAGGCTCAAATGCCCACAACCTGCATTTAGTGGTTTAGGATTTCAAGGCTAAACATGTTGGGCAGGAATTCCACCGACCTGGCTGTATATATAGAGATCAAACGGTGCTGGCAGAGCTGGGGGGCTGGCTGATGAAGGCCTCCAGTGTGTGCTGCGTGTGGTAGTTGTGGGACGGGGGAGGGGGACGTTCACCATATACAAATTACACTCAATGGCAGAAACAAGGGGGGGGTATCAGGGAGTAAATCCAAGGATGTTTGTTCAGCTGGGCTCTGCAAGGCTTTGCACACCGAGTGTGCAATGCGACGGCACTCAGCATTGCGACTCTAAAGAAAGACACACACACACACACACACACACACACGCACGCACGCACGCACGCGCTCGCACCACTCTCGGTCTCTAAGTCCTGTTTATTTTAGTAACAAGCTGTGGCAGTGGGGTTATTTTACTACAGTATTGAGTAACAACTACTACACTTCTTCCTCCTTTCAAGTTCAACCCTCGGACCAATTTATACCAATTGGCTCCACACATGGGAGCACCTGCCCTCACAAGGCGGCGGGAATCCTATTCACCACGCAGTGTAAACTGAGCGACAGCTTCCTCTTCACAACGCACCGCCTGTCACACATGCTTGGCATCGCTGGCACATGCGTCCTTATCGAGCCATCTCTCGGAACGAGCCGCTAATTACAGCCTGACTGGACAAGACCACACTGCAGAGATGACATCAAACATCCGGTGTTTGCCGTCACGTCTTTTTACAGTCAGCGAGCACAAAGTCCGGACGGCCCTCGCTCTGCGGTACCTATTTTGTGGGGTCTCCGCAGTGCGAGGGCCCGAAACGCCTCGGCCCCCGCCGCTTCTGGAACGAGGTGGGTGGCTTTCCACTGGGCGCAGCTAGACAAACACTCTACGGCTCATTCCGCCTGCCGGGCTGCGGTTTCGCTCCACACAGCCCAGACAGGACCAGGGCTTCTTTCTATTTGCCGTCCCCTTGCTACCATCCCCTCAACCCCCGAGCTCTCCTTCTCTGTTGGGGGAAAAACAAACAAAACAAAACAAAAAAAAACTCGGCATGAAAACATGACCCCTGGTTCGTGTGCACTCTGTCCAGCTGGGTATAAATCAGCACTTTATGGAGGTCCCCGTCAGGGCCTGCGAGACCTGGGTGCTCCTGGTTTTCCTTTTTCTTCACCCGGATCACGGAACAATATTTGGATTTAGTGACCACAGAGGAGTGGGAGGTGAGGAAGGGGAGGAAGGTTTTCCCATTATCTCAGACGGTGATGAAAGCCCCCGGCAATAGGGAGGACTCAGCCACTGGCGAACGCTCTAAAGGGCAGGTGGACCGAGAAGAGTTTTACCCAAAGAATTGTTTGGTGGATTGAGATGTCTCCGTCTTGTGGAAGTGTATTTGGTTTCATCAGCACTGACTGCACATTGCTGTTAGATTGAAATCCTTCTGTAATGTACCTTGAACTTCACCCCAGTTATCGCGTGCCCGTTTGCCTCAGTTCGTAACTAACAAATATGTGATTTATGGACTGGAGGCAAGAGGAAGGCATTCCTCAGTCTCCTTTGAGATTAGAAATATACATTGATGGAGCCCGTCAGCGGAGGAGATACCTCCAGGGTATCATTAGCTGGGAAAGCAATTATCTAGATGCTAGCTGACATGGGGAGATTAGCTTACATCATAAGGAGAGCCGCTCCATCGTTGGTCATTAATCGGCTTCACTGGGAGGATAAGAGACAAGTGTACAAACCTCCCATTGGAACATTCTAGCTGTATCACTTTAAGGACAAGTTATAGTCGTTCCAGTAGGTCACGCTCAAATGTCTCTCACTATGAACTGCTCTTCTGTCATCACAAGCACACAAAAAGAAGATTTGTCAAAGGATGTTCAGATGATTGAAGAGGCCGTGGATAAAGGTCAGAGCGTCTGGGGAACAATCCTGCTGGCGACCATTTGAAGACGCCGACGGGCGTCCCAGTGGTTTTAACAATGTGTTCCTGCAGACGATCTGGGGAGCGACGCACCGAGCGGATACTGGCTCTGGGACGTTGTTTATGGGCTTCCTCGTCGTTCGTCACAGCGGGCCGTTTTAAAAGTCGAGCTAGATCATAAAAATAGCGTGGAGTCAGCGAGGTGAGGAGCAAAGCTTGACGGCCACTGAGGTCACAGGATGTTGTTGTAAGACCACGGCAGCCCCTCGGGGAGACGACTGAGACACCCGGGGCTACGAGGTGAGCTGACATAAAACCTCCGGAGGCTCCTCGGCAGTAACTGGAGATGGAAATTAGCTTTTTTAGAAGTTGCTCATCATTCAAACGTTTTCGTGGTGAGAAAAAAAGTAAATTTCAGAGGGTTGTGACTCGAGGTGTGGCCCCGCCAGTTGGTGCTTCAGGTAGGTACTCCTCAAAAACCGGACCCCCTGATCCAACGACATCTACAAAAGTAGTATGACTAATGGAATGCCACAGGGTCATTTCCTTATGCTCCCACAAAAATGTGTATAAAGACACAGAGGTCTGCAGAGAGGAGTATTTATTTTCTTGACAATTCTGCAGAGAGTATTCTGGCCCTTCTCCTCCGTGACTCTCACTCAGCAGCCATCCATTTGTATGCCACAGGGTTTATTTATACATTACAAACCTTCATCAAGGCTAATTTGATGAGGGGGGAAAAGAGTACACAAAAATTCTTATGAAAACGCAGCTGCTGCGAAGGGCAGATTCTGTCTAAATAAAAAGGGAGCTATCTTGCAATAATATACAATACCGCCGAGGGGGTCATGAGGAAGGGCATCCCCATAAATATACAACAAACTCTCCCGTCACACACACGCTGGGGTGGGACGTGGCAAATATAATCATTTGACCGTTTAAGAATGACTTTTATTTACATAATGTGGCAACCGGCTTAAACAATGCCTGAATTCATTCAGGAATGACAAAGAACACAAGAATGCGTGGCCTGGATTATCAACATCCTTCCCCTGACGGAACGGGGCGTCAGGTCCTAAACAGGGGGGCTCGTGACTCACTCGCTGTTTTGATAAACATCGGCTTTTGAGAAAATGAAAGGCGGCAGCTGAAACCTCAAACCCGTCGGTCATACCGCATTGAATGAAGGAGCTCAATATTTACATTTTTGACCGTGTGTGTTTTACCGTGATTACAAGAAAAAGAGGAGAAAAAAACCCCTCTTCAATTAGGTTGACCTCTGCACCCTTTCATGTCAGGAAGGAAGTCATTACAGTTCTTTATGCAGCTGACGAGCTAAGGCCAATAATGGTGGAGGGGTGCACTCGACAGGCCCGATGTCCAGACATACCTGTTAGAGGCCGCTTGTGCAGACCGTGCAGGATACTCTGAAAACAGAGGAGGCTCCATTAAGGAAATTAGGATAAACTCTACAAGGCTACGCAACGCTCGCGCTCCACAAAGAGCTCCTCTATCTTCATGCATGTTTTCTTTTATTTGTAAGAGAAGAGTTGATGTGGGTGGTGGGAACGGGGCGACATAAAAAGTTCACGTCATAATAATCCTGGCCAAAGAGATTAAGATACACAATGTAATCCCTACTATCATACAAATACGCTTAACATACAGGAATCACTATCTTGCATTCTGCTTTACTAATAGGACACACCTCTTTCATGAGGAAAAAGTCAAAAGGTCCACCTGCTTAAATTAGACACATTTCTGAAAAAGTAACATTGCGGTCTGTTCTTTCTTAGCCTAAATATAAATTCTTCTTTGATTAAGTTCTATTTTACACTAATTTACCGTAATAATGCTTTGTGATGATATTCAATTATTCTCATCATGGGAATGTACCTGAATCGAATTATTGTGAGTGTTTTTTATTGCGATCCGGCGTAGAAAATCGTATTTCATCCCATCCCGAGAGGGAAGAGGTATGTAAAAAGTACATGTAACACGCACACACACAGACACACACACAAATACCTGTTAAGTGAAATGTCTGGCCAACGAATTCCTGTCAAGCTATTTCAGTTTACTGGTGGCAAAGCTGAGACAACTTGAGGTGTGAGTTACGAGGGATGCTGTCTGAGACGCCGTGGGGAGGAGATGGATCGGGGGATGCTTTGCATGAGTGACAGCCCAAAACAGAGCATCCATCAGAGTCAGGGTGGTCAGCTAGGAAGGGGTGCCCGGGAGACTGTGCTCCAGTGAAAAGGACCACCCAAAGCAGGCGGCATAAGCCATCTCACACCATGGACTACAGACCAAACCCGAAGCTACACACTGAAAATAACAATGACAGGCGGCTCTCTCTTGACTGACGGACAGGAATCCGTGATCAACAGCAGGGATGAGTCATGTTGAACAAAAAACAAAAAAAACACGCCTAAGAAGTCTACATGGAAGAGATGTTGAGAAGAAAGTAGTAAGAAATACGTCAGGAGTAAAACCTCAAACTGGTTGTTCACCGTCTGTTCTGTGGAATAACACACCAGGGGAAGGAGAGTAAACAGCCAGAATAAGATTGCTCAGAATGCAAGTCTCCGAGATGGCAGATATCGACAGAAGGAACAGACAAAAGAATGAAGCGTACCGTAGACATTGAGCAACCAGCTCATTTTGCTCCAGACATCTTGATGAGTGTATCACTTGTGTGTGGTCTGCTAGAGGCCACACTTGCTTCTCTGCTTATTAGCCCCTCGGCCTCACTGAAGGGGAGCATATTTGTGGTTACGAGGCGGCGCAATTACACCTCTCCACTCCATTTGTTTATATCTTCATTTTGATAATAGCCAGGGCTGCGCAGGGCCGTTCACTGTGGTTAAAACATTTGCACTGCAGAGCAAAGCTAGTGGAGAGACCGGCTGGCGAGCTTTAGAGTGTCCCCCGAGTCAGTCAGACTAGGCTGATGCTGCCCCCTAGAGGACAAGCAGAGAAACTACTGCTAAGACCGTCCTTACCTGCTCTTTGGATTTGGGGGACGACGGGGACAATTCATAGTCTTTCTTGGTCTCGAGGATCTTCTTCACGAGGCTGCCTGCGCGGAGAGAAACGGTGAGAGGAAGATGAGAGGTGAGCCTCCTCACAGCACCAGGGGACAGAAGATGTGCCCCTAATGAGCCTCCCAGAATAAGAAATGAAGAAGCAGTAAATAACGTGAGGATCAGATCCGAGCGGGTACCATGTTTGTCTTCGCCGTTGAGGTCCTGCCCCTGGAAGGGAAAGAAATAGAGGATAACTATCCAATGTACTCGCATTACATTCCAAGAAGCTCGCCGTCCAAGTCACTCACCGCCTCCATGTCAGGAGCCTCCGCGGGCGGAGGCACCGCCTCCTCCACGAGAAATTGCTCATCTTCGTCCTCCTCGTCATCAGACAGCACCTTCCCGTCCATGATGACTGGTGCTGGGGGCTTGGCACTGGACAGCCTGCTGGGACAGAGACTCGTTTCTGACTGAAAGCTGTGTATGTACCATGTAGGGTGAGGCGTGTGTTTGTCTGACGGAGCGGTCAGATTATCACAGTTACAAACAGTGTAGTCACCTCTCAGCCGGCGTCACATCGGAGCTTTCCTGTTTCTTGACTCGGGGGGGGGCTGGGCGAGCGCTGCCCGGCCGTGGCATCCGCCTGTTGTCGCCCATTGAAAAGATTTAGACACTTAACTGAAGTTAAGTTGTTAAACCAATCATTTTCTAACTACATACGAGTGCATTTTTAAAAGCCATTTTTCATTGGTTTTTACAGGTTGCAGTTTTTTTATTTCTTGACGTGCTTTATAGGGAAAATCTTCTGTTAGCGGCTCTCAGAGAGAAGACAGCTCATTCAGACTTTAGGATGATAATTGTTGCTTGGAACCAAAAAAAATCGCTAGAACGCAGCTCGTCGGCCAATCGTTCGATTAGATGGTTTAAACACACAAACACTCATAAATGTTTAAATAAAAACAGCAATCACTCCACTATGTGCTCTGCTGGAACAGATACTGGTGATGGCCCAGGAACAAGCTTCATTTTAGCTTTAGCGCAACTACCCTAATATTTAAATAAATCGGATAAAATGCAATGAAATAACTTTTATACTAAGAAATTACAACCGAATTTTAACGTTTATATGTTTGATGACCTACTGCATAAGATGATTTAACCAGTGAGACGGATCCCTTATAATCATTGCCCTCATTGTGAAAAATTATCATAATGAAAAAAATTACCACACGATTAAAATAACATCTCAAATCTTCCAAAAAAGAAAGGTCATAAGCTTCATGACTGCATTGTTTATTAAATAGCTACTTTGCGTTAGATGTTGATGTTTCCCAGATAATTGTGAGAGCAGCTTAAATATTTACAGTTAATGAGGTGTTTTTGTCATAAGTGAAGAGTATTGCTGGATTAATGTCCTGTACCTCAGCAAAGCGCTTGCATAATGAGGTACGGTTCAGTGTTGACTGTACAGACCTGGAGGCCACGTCAAATGGCACCGAGGACGCTGCAGTCTCTCCATTTTCTTGGGGCGGCGGTCTCTGGGCTAACAGAGCATCTCCGTCTGCGAAGGGACAGCAGCGACTTGTAGTTAGCTCAGTATAACATAGCGAGGGTTAGATCCGTCCTTCCACTGGACACTAATGTACATGCCTGTATAACGAGTGCACACAGTACCGGCCTGTTTCTATGTCCTGAATGCTCACAACCTCACAAAGATACCGCTAGATCAGAACACCGTTGCCAAAAGAGAAATTTGCTCAGATGGATTTTGTTCTTTTGGACAGAGCTCGACTGACATTTCCCAAACCAGCCGGCTGCTAAGACTCAATTGTTGCCCTCGCTGCGTACGGCGGTGGGGTTTCTTGTCCTCTAGGAGAGTTGCTTTAGTAATCCTCTGAGGCCCTTGAGACATTGAACGTTATTAATGAACTTCACTGACTTGCTCAGACCTTTAAAAAAAAAGAGCACATTGTTGCCCCATCTAGAACGTCATTTAGTCGCAGTGAGAGAATGTCGAGCATGCACTCTAAAGGGAGCGCGCTGACATACTGGGGGAAGACATTTCTGGATCCTTTGATCCTTGTGCTTTCAGGACTAAAGAAGTGGAGCGCTGACTTTAAAGTTTTTGGTCTATTTATGAATTGATCAATTTTAAAACTTTCTTTTTCTGTTACTGCAATTCATAAAGGAACCCCTCAAAATGCATTTTTGATTAAGGGCAGCACCTCTGCTGTCACGATGACCACATGGAAAATCCCTAATGTTAAATGAGATGAGATAGAGAACAATTACCTCCCTCGCTGTCAGATTCATCTGTTGGAGAGCAGAAAAAGATCTTGTTAGTTTCTGGACATGCAAACACAGAGTATGAAAACACAAAGTGTCTTTCTTAATGTCAGTTCCATGAAACCTTTGTCGACACTGCCAACAGTAATCCTGATGAGTCACTTTTACCTCCCACTGAGTGGAACCAGTCAGTGAATTTATAAGACCAGTTCGCAAATAGAAACCCGTCAACTGTAAAATCTATTTGGCTGTCGAAGAGCCCCTCGGTTGATGATTCAAGGGCAGTTATTTAGTCATTTAGTCAAGGGCAGTTAGTCGTTTTAAGTTGGGTGCTGGGGGAGAAGGGATGGGGGTTACCTTGACCTCCAATTTTGGGTCTCCGCCTCTGCCCTTTGGCAGATGAAGGCCGAGGTATTCTAGCTGGACTGTCAGGCTGTGAGAGAAGCAGAGACAAGCAGGCAAAGGATACACGTTTACAACAATAAGCAGTGAAAAGCAACACATCACTCACTGACTGTGGACGCCCCGTCATGTAGAACCCTCTATTGGGCCGTCCTTTCATGATCAGTCATCAACTTCTTTGCTAAACAATTAGGCCCCAATTAACATGGAGGGTTAATGTTGAAACCGTACACACTGACAGACTGCTGCATGCGAAATACAGCACATGGGGGGCAAGTTAGTTGTATCACAGCAACAATAAAAACACTGAAACGGAATGAAGTGTGTTTAAAAAACAACAACTGCCACAGATTATGAACTTACCTGGTTCTCAACTGCTTCTGCAGGCTGCAGAGACAAAGAACACAACATTACACCACAAACTGAGGTCACATTTAGCAATGATACAAATAATATGAGGACACAAGGCCTCACATGCCTGCTAAACACCATAGCCCAAATTAGCACTAAAACAAGTAGCCGCCCCCCTAACGCTATTGCAATCAATGGTCACAGCATCCTAAACAAAAGCGCAGACTACAGCAAAGCTCTCATTTTTTTCGCATTTGGTTTCTGCGGGCTTCAATACCTCCTCGCCTGGTGTTTCATCCTTACATGAAGAAGGGGCACAGCATAAATAAAGTAGAGATGAACATGTAAAGTGTGTCTAGTAAAGCACACCATCATCACTATGAGACAGTCACTTCTAATAATAAACAATGTATCATGAGTGATGGAACTCACGGCTGGCACAGGTTTGGCTGTTTTGCTGGGCTCGGGGCTCGCCGCCTGCTGTGGTTCCTCTGACACTCTGGCCTACGCACGAACACACACGTGAGGTAAATAATGGTCTGTTGCTAAACATTTAAGACTTGAGGCAAACAGGCAGGCATACCTTGCTATTGCCGCTCTCTCCACTTTTGCTCCGCTCTTCCCGCTCTTTGTGGCGCTCCCTGTCTTTGCCTCGGGCCCTTCTTTTGTCCTTGTCTCTTTCCCGGGCTCCGCGAGAGTCTCTCGCCTTATCTCGGTCTTTGTCTGGCTCCCTCTCTGGCTCCCTCTCTCTGTCCCTCTCCTTGTCCCTGTCTTTCCCCCGTCCTTTGTCTCGCTCCCGATCCCGGCTCTTGTCCTTGGCGCGGGGGTCCTTTTCTGAGCGCTCTCTGGCGCCGTGCTGCTCCTTCTCCCCATCCCTGCGTCGGCTCTGCGGCTCCTTGGGCTGGTCCGGGTCCTTGTGGTCTCGGCTCCCGCTGCGGTCTGTAATCGTCTTCCTCTCCTGAAATAGTTCACGCCGAACACACAGGGTGAGGATCCAAGGCACATGCTGGGACACTGCCGATGCTAACTGCTAACTGCTAACGCAGGCGGCACATAGTGCACCAGATGTTGGGAGTGAGCAGTGTGTAATTCCATCCTCAGAGCGGGCGGAGGACTCTCACCTCTCGATCAAGAGGACGTTCGCGTCCTTCCCTATTCTCCTTGTCCTGGGACCTGGTGGTGCTGGCCTTGGTCTTTATGTCCACCTTTTCTCCGGCAAGCACTCGCTTCACGGCATCGTCACTGGACATCTGGAAGACAACATTTGGTTCATGTTATGAATTTGAATTGTTTACCGTCTTTTGAAAACAATCATTTCAGACTTGTACACATACAGTCAATCATTTTCTTTTTGCAGTGTTGTTACACTATTGTATACTACATATTATTGTCTTCCCACAGTAAACTCTTATACAATGCGCTGATGAATAAGGACAGACATTTTGACCAGTACAACTCACAGGATGAAAACTACTGTGCCAAAGCAATGGAGAAAAGCTTTAATACAGAAATGCTACCAGAATAATATGAAATGTTGTTTGAATAGAATTTCATTATTTTAATATATTTGAATGAACTAATCAGCTATCACATATTGGACCAGTATATTCAGCTAACGCTTTACTTAAGTTTCTTACATTCAGAGCTAAATTAATATTGATTCAATGCTCATTAATTTGGGGGATTTTTATTGTTGTTTTTTTCATTGTTGAAATATATCTATTAAATCTAGGCTGTATGTAACAACAGCAAATAGGTTGCATAAGATCCGAGGAATACAAACATTCCCCATGACATGAAATCAAAACAGTGTTTGTAGAACAGATATCCAATTGGGACGTGCTCATCTCTTTACTCTCCAGGGCTCAATTAAAAAGTTCTTCCCGAGGCCGGCTAGACATTACTAGACATAGATTTTTATTATTTGCTAGAAATAACACACAATGGGAAACAGTTTTTTTCCAAATATATCATCTGAATGATAGGAGACTGGGGACAGGAGAGAATTGGAAAGTGAGCCTTTGCAATTGATCTCTTCTGTCAGTGTGCGTTGCCAAGAACACACACCTTGTTGATGCAGCACTTGGCCATGACCTGCAGCAGCTCGTTGGTTTTCTCGGGCTCATGTCCGGCCACAATGCGTGCCGGCTTCGCCCCCAGGGGCTCGCCACTCACCAGCATCACCACGTCTATTGCCTTCTGGAGGAAGACTATCTTGGAGTCCTTATCCTGAGAAGGAAAAAGACAAGGCAAACAGAGTCCATTGTAAAATCTGATTTAATAACAAAGCCTGCCTCCACAAAAGAGAGCAACACACCTTTCAGCATTCGGTCAATGACATTGATTTCAGATAAATGACCCAGCTAAGCAGTGCTGCTAGTCTGTTATAATGCAGCATCTGAGATGCCAGCAGACAGTGCAAAGGAGTTAAAAAACATCATTTACAAAAAAAGATTTGCACTGAAGAGAGTAAGGTAGTGATGAGATTATCACATAACAACACAGCGGTGTTGTTATACCGTCTGTTATCCCATGACAGACGTGTATGAGCATAACAATGGTACCTTCTGAACTCAACATCCTCAATTTTACATGATCTGATTACAGTGATGCTCCTGTTGGGGGACATCCAGTTTCAAACAGGGACCTGTAGCTGAGCCCATGCAGCATCCTTCTGTCGAGTATCGATTTGGGGTCAACTATCAAGCAGCACACTTCTGACACCTTGGATGCCCTCTTAGTCATGTCATGCCAGATCCTCTCACAAAGGGAGCGTGTAGAGTTACTCACACACTGCCGCCCTCAGACTGGGCGTCAGATCACCTGCAGGCTATCTCATACACAAATAAGGCTGCTGCTTAGGACATACGCGCAGATTATGTGAGACAATTATGAGGGAAATGCAATTAACCAAAAATAGTGATATCAGCGTTATGCATCAGGAGGCCTAAAGGAGTAGAAATGATCAACCAGGAGGACAGAGTGGTTCACTTACCTTAACATTGTCGGACTTCATTTCATTTTCACCATACAGACCTTTCATAAAACCTACGGTCTTGATGACCTGAAAGGAATAACAAGTTAAGGTTGAACACTCAGCTGTCAGATTATTTGCATTTCCCTAAAAACTAAAAATATATAAAGTACACATAGGCATCAATATCTCAGCATCCTCTATAATGTGGATGCCTATTTGTGCAGTCAGACACATTGTCAGCAGCGGAAAGGAGTCACACATCCCGACACGCTTCCCTCATCAAATATACATGGGTCGCCTCTGACTACTTAAGACGCGTGGAGTGGGAAAGAGATCTCACGTGGGTTGAGAAAGGTTGAACAGATTTTATCGTACTTCACACCTTGTATCAAAGGATTCTGTTGTGTGTGAAAAAAATAAATAAAAGAAAGAGCCCTGGATGTGATGCATGGTTTTATAGAGACACAAGCATGCGCAAAGATGCAAAGGCCAGTTCCTTATCCGGTTCACCGTTACATGCCGCAATAGTCGAACTATCAACTGGATCGGATGGAGTTATCCAGGGGTGTTAGTCGGATCGTAGTCGGACCGCACATAGTCGGACAAAGGTGTTTACATGAAACGGATAATTCGATTTCAGTCCGACTAAGCCAGTTATTCGAATCCATGTAACCACGCTGACTGACTTATTTCTGATGGGTTCAAACTTAGTCTGCTCCATCTCAGTATGGTCCACAAAGTGCCTGTGTAACAGGCCACATCACCTCAAAGCTGGAGAGGACAACTAACGTTGGAGATTAGTGACGTTAGGGAGCTTGGAGCTGAGCGGAGAGGAGCAGCTGCTGAAGTGGTGAAGCAGGCGTGTTACTGAGGAGTCCACCACTGAGGCTTCTACTATCTCTGCAAACCCCTGTGATGATGCGCGGGCAGCTTTGAACACGCAGTGATTCATCGCAGCACCACGTAACCATTGGTCTTATCAAACAGCCCAGCGGCGATAAGCCGCTCAGCATCCGTGATCTCAACGTGACGAAGAGCCACGCACATTTATCCAACCTGGTACCTCGAACGGCTCACTGTGGTTAGCCGACGGTAACGGAACCGGTTCGATCCCCGAGTGTGCGCGAAACTACACGACGCCATAGGCACGGATAGCTCAAGTTAGCTTACCCACTATGTTAAATTACTCACGTAAAGCGACCTCATTTACAATTGTTAGCGATCTTTAGCAACCCTTCCTTTGGTTCATGGTCGACTTTGATGGTTTAACTGCTCGACCAACCTCATCCGCGATACCAGAGTCGCATTGACGGCTGTGGTAGCCGTAACGTCAGTTAACGTTACCGCGAATTGAGTGTTACTTGGTTAGCATAGTTCATGCTAACGGTGCATTAGCCAGGCGCCTGGCTGGCTCGTCTTTTTATTTGGCGCGAGCCTTTCGGTAAATAAGGGCTAAAGTGGCCCGTTGTGGCGGTGAAACAAACGCAAAGTTGCTAATCCTGAAGTTAGCATGTGAGTCTCACCTCGCTGAAGATGTCGTGAAGGTATCGAAACGGCGGCTTGCTTAGCAGCTTTTCCGTGAGAGGAGGTTTCTTTATCACTTTGCCCAGCGTGTCCTGGGTCTTCTTCACCACCGCCACGTTCATGGCAGCGGGCGAACGTCAAGCTAAGGGGCTTAAACGCAGAGGAGACAGCAACAACTATTCAGGAGTGTACAAAAAAATCCTGCTGGCTCTGTCGCCTGGTTGCCATGTCAATATTCAGCAATCCCACAGTGCACCAGTGATGAAGACTGCGCATGCGCTGACGGTTACGGTTGCTAAGCATCGCTTGCGCCCATAGCAACAGCTAACGATCTCCAACAAGTCTCATGATAAACTAGCTAGTTTATTGGTTGCTCGGATGGACAACCGGGTAGACATACAGGCAGAGTGGAACCACATCATCTAAAGTGCTCCGGGAAAGGAAAGAGACAGTGAAAACTCTTGCAACTCTCACAGTGTAAAGAACAATAATTTAGATGTGTTTAGGAAAATTCAAATGAAATTAAAACGTTTCTGTAATACTATGTTTGCTATCCTTTAAAGGCCCACGCCTACGTGCATAGGCCCCTATGTTTTTATGAACCTGTGAGAAGGTTGCCGTTGGGGCTGGAGGTGAGCAGGTGTAGGCCGGTGGTTTGGGTGGGTATACCTTCCCACAACATCAGACCATTTAGCAAGCTATTCTTTTTGACGATATGATTTATTGGTCAGTATTTTGTTAAGATTTATTGGTCAGTATTCTGTTAAGAGATACAGACTGACAGTCTGTATCTCTCTGCACCTCCGTTCAAGCAATTCAAACCACTGTGGGTGTTTTTTAGGGAGTGATTTCTTTTGTTCAGAAATAACGCACTGCTCTGCTTTACCTGTTTGGTGGGTTCACCCAATAGAAAGCACACCTAACGAGAGAGAACACACAGTATATCCAAGTCTGGTACATGCGCTTGTTGCTTCCTGCTGTCAAGGTAAGACACACATTGTGTGTGACTTTAAGGTCGGGAACACTTGAAATAGGAATGGCTTTTTCTACAGATCAAAGGACAATGATCATAACACTGTAGCAGCTGGAGCTTTTCATGAGAAAGATTTTACATGAAGACAGCGGCTGGGTTTCTGCTGTTGATTTGTAAAGTGTGCGTTTGTAAACCCTGTGACCGCCGCTTGTCTGAAAGTTTACCGGTTATTGCTGAAATCACTGAATTTCCCTGTTGTTCTAATTGTCAACTGTCATTGCAGTTCTCCCAAAGGTAGAGATGCTTCGCTTTGTCGTGTTTGCTCTGTTGCTTGGTGTCTGTGCCAGTGCTGGTAAACAGCAGAAAAAGAAGGAGACGCCGCAGTCCTTGTCGAGAGGTGGGTGAGTTATTGACTCAGTGGATTTAAAATTGTGAGCTTGGGTCTGGGTCATAAGACACACAAATAATGACTAGAATTTGAGTGTGTCAGTGAAGTGATTCAGTTGAGTCCTGTGAAATAGTGCGGCGTGTTCATTTGTATCGAGCTTTTTGCTGGTTTGCTCTGCAGGATGGGGGGACGGCATTCGTTGGGTCAAAAGTTATAAAGAGGGCCTGTCGGAGATGGTCAAACGGTAAGACTCATTGATAAATAAAAATAAAAGTACCACGTGATTTATTGGTCAGTATTCTGTTAAAATATGGCCTTGCGACTATCTCATGGATGCTGTTGTGTAATACCGCGTCCACACCCAGCGTTGTGCGAGCAGTGGGTTGAGTGGTTTCCCTGTGGTTTTGCTCTCACAGTAAGAAGCCTCTGATGGTCATCCATCATCAAGACATCTGCCCGTACAGCCAAGGTACTGCAGTCACTCCGGTCCGTCACAGCTGAGTAGTATTAAATATGAAAGTAAAGGCTTACACACCCTGCATTGTCCTCACAACACACACCTGGGCTTGGTTTCATGGGCAACACAATGGGGGCATTCCTCAATAATACCCAACCAACCAAGCTGGTCCTATCTATCACACAGCTGGTTTTTAGGAAGGAAGCTCAATGGAAGTCTCTTCTGCCATTTCTGAGCTCATAAATAGTGAGGCCGCCTACAGGGCAAAATCTGGCTGTTGCTTTTGACTCGTCACATACTAGTGGCCCTCATGCATGTATATGATTTGATTTAAGTAGTTTAACTCAAAAATACTGACTTGAGGAAAGTTTAAATAAATTAGGCATGTTAGTTGCATTGCGTAACTAGAAGTACTCTGTAAAACCTGCTTACAAATCTTGATCCAAACTTAATAAAGTTAATATTATTAACACAATATATGTTCACCATTCACAAAGTTGTATCTATTTTAACATTTTATATATACTTTTTATTATATTGCATATAGGATTATATATTATGTATTGTGCTTATTTTGCCATCGCACAGCTCCAGTCTTTTAGCCGGGTTTTAGTGCTGCAGTTCTGATAGATTGTTTTGTCATAGTTTGTCAAATAAATATGTCTGGTTCTTGTGAGTTAAATACATTGATTTGACTATATCCATTGTCAGTTAATTACGCAGCGTCTCATCGTGACGTATTCATGCATCTGCAGTGTATTTATAGGTGTGGAGCCTCATGCAGCATTTTATTTCACTGTAAATGTGTTTTGTGAAAAAAATACTGACCAGTAACTGTTGCATCATAATGAGGTTGACTGTAGTGGGAAAATCCACGGCCCGTCACTGCTTAACACAATTACAATTCCATGCACACAAGCTCCTTTTTCAATCTTTATGTCTGCGTTGTTGCAACCAGATTCATTACATAGTACATAAAGTATTCCTATAATGAAAAGTTTAAAGACAGTCCTGTTTTATAATATCAAATACACGCTAAGCAGGATTGTTCCAACAGCGCTGAAGAAGGCCTTTGCTGCTGATAAGTCCATCCAGAAGATGGCGGGGAGGGATTTCATCATGCTCAACCTTTTGGTAGGTTCATTGGGTGAAGATGTTTGTGTCAGCGTAAAAACGCTTAGCCGTGCACAAGTTGCAGCATGTGGTGAATAACGCGCACTGTGGTAAAGAGGTAATGTGATGCCATGTAATTCCTGTAGCAAAGTACACTGAGGGGATTTTCTAACTGGTATTTTTGTGATTTTGGTTTCAGCATGTTTTACTGTTTGCATTATTAGCCACTAAATTCATATGCCATAAGTCAAATATCTCACACTGAATTCAGTGTGGAAAACTGTTACAACATCCGGCATAATACATATTTATTTGCAAATAAAAACAGTATTTAGTAGTAACCATCTGCCAAATACTTTATGCTCAGTTTTTACTAACAGAAATCAACGATATTCATGCTTTTCACAGAATGAGACTGCGGATGAGAGAATAGCCCCCGATGGACGCTACACTCCCAGAATCCTCTTTCTTGGTAAATATACTTACACTATTCATGGAGGGAGGGCGAAAGTCTGATCCAGCACAGTAACGGTGTTTTGCAATGCAAAATTGTATTGATACATGGACGCCAAGTCTTTTATCATTTATCAATGTTGCAAAAGCAAATTACATGTTTTTATGACAGTGTTGGTCAGACTGTCTGTTTGAGTAAAAATAACTTCAGAATTTTCAGGTAAAAAAAGTAATGAGTTCCATTGCATTATTACTATACTTAGCATTTGACTAGATGTTTAAATCCATCGACACCGAAAATCTCACTGAAGTTTTGAAATCTTTGAAGCAGAATAAGTGTTCAGCCATGACGGGGTGACTATATATATAAAACATTACATGCTAACAATAGTTACGCATTCTTAATGATGCTGTGGGAAGCTGTCAGGTTAACTACGAATGGAGATTCCCCTTTTCCACACAGTCCCAAATCACCAGTAAGCAGCCATGTGAGATGTCCACACATGGCTGCTGTCACTCCTGTTCCATTTCCTCGCTGGATGTTTTTTTACCGTCACTGCTTGGCCTCGTCTCTTTTGTCATTTCATATTTGCCAAACAGTTATTGAAATGATCAACGCGCGTGTGTGTGTGTGTGTGTGTGACTCTCTGTGCAGATCAATCCAACACTGTGCGCACTGAGCTCGTGGGAAAGTTCCCCAGCCATCTCTACACCTACGAGCCGGCTGACATGACACTCTGTGAGTGACCGTCCACGTCCTCTGATGGTGATGATGGTCACATGACCAGTCAGCGGCATGAAGACATGTTTTTGACTCTATATTTTGAGAGGAACTTATATGTCCTAAATGTCTTGCAGCTTGCAGCCTGCTCTGTCTGCTTTGAGAGAGGTTGTGTAAATCTCCACACATCCTCGCCCAATTTGCAGAATGATGTTTTCTTAGAAACACAACGCGCTCTTTTTTATAGAAATGATGATCATTAATAAGAACAGAATCACTTCAAATTTTTAAATCAAACTGTAAGTGGTGCATTAAATTGGAGTCGGCAAAAGAGATGAACTCAATAGAACCCTGGCAACTTTGCACTTTGAAAAATAATTTTGAAATAATGCTGCCAGAAGCTACGACAGGCCCGTAGTAGAGATGATGGCGAGATGCCGTTTGAAGTGAGTGTGCACATCCTGAGAACATGCGATGTAAGGTCCAGTTCCATCAGCTTCCTGCGCCATCTTCCTGCGTAATTTATGTCTTCTTTGTCTTAATTGCAAGTCTGTCTTATTTGGGGTTTTGCTCAGACACAAGAGACTGCTTGTTACTGATCCAGCAGAATGCTTTGATACTCTAAGCTCTCAAGTGTCAAGGCAGAAAACCTTGTTTTATAAAACCTAACTTTGCACATTTTCCGTTCAACCAAAACCTTCTGAAATAATTCCCAGACCACGAATATCTGAATACAATTTAGTCTCAAGCCATTAAGTACAAGTTGAGATATCTTACTACATATGGGAAAAGCTGCTAGTGGTGCTGGAGATTCAGTGGATCATCCACGTCAATGAGCTACAGCGTATTTGTATTTGCATTCACAAGCACAAGAAACCCCGCGTCTCAAATGTTTTTACTTTTGTTTAGATGAGCATTTCACCAGCAAGGGAGAAAATGCATGTTGCATATTCTAATTTGTATGCTCTCTTTCAACAGTGGCTGAAAACATGAAGAAAGCCCAAAAAATGAAGAAGGCTGAACTCTAACCAGGTCCAATGGTTACACCTTCCCCATCCCGGACCCCTGCTGGGACACCTGCTCAGTGTTCTAAGACGGACGTCTTTACATCAATAAAACCAAAATAAGTGATTGAAAATGAAAGTGTCCAGTGTGTTACCCTTAAGTAATTGTGTGGATGGAATCCTGGGACTATTGAAGCTCGATAAGATCTGTGAGTTAACGAATAACTCACAGATCTTATCATCTTAAAAATAAGGTAGTATTGTAGAGCTGTTAAAGTCATCTGGGGTTATAAGCCTATTGAGATCACTTTAACTCTTCCTCTAGTTTTTATTTTATTTACAAAAGGAGATAAACTACACGTATAATTAGTGAAGGTGAGCATTACTTTAGAGAATTTGGGCGGAACTGTGGACTTACATCCAAAGATGCAGAAGTGAACACTGAAATAATTGGTGAAAGGTCTCACGCATGGTGGCGTGTTCGAACCACTGAGTGGCAGTATAATCGTACCTACAGGGTCCCATCACGTCTTCCACCGAAATGATGTTTGTACTATTGTCAATGCCAGAATGGATGTTCTGAAGGGTTCATTATATGAGTTGAATGCAGTTTTTACTGAGAGCATTAGCACAGGTTATATATTGTGTGTCATTACACACAACTCTGTATTCTTCTTACAGTCCATCATGTTTCGTCAAACGTCTCATGGATGACTCCTCGAAGCTCCCCAGTAATTACGTCGCTGCACACGTAGTCCTCAACGATCCTTAGTTTCGAGTCTTCACTTAGCTGTATTTGTGTTCTCCCGTTGAAGGATCCTCCCTGAAGAAACACCTCAGCTCAGGCCCGGACAGAATGAGAGCGCTGCAACGCCCCAATAGCCCCGATGGCGTTTTCTGCCGTCATAGAAAGGATCAATGTCTGCGCTCTTCTGCCTTCCCCTGCTGAAGAAGTGGTGCAGACATGGAGACTGTTCTGCACACTGAAACTTATTCAAACTAATAAGCATAACGCATCATTTTAACCCAGAAAAACAAGAAAGGTAGAAAACAGAGCATTTAAAATGGGTCATTGAGTTTCATTCCTTCATATTAGTTTCCATAACATCTGATCAGGGAGGAATGACTTTCAAAGCCTTTTCTTTCCTCAAAAGAAATTCTGTTTTTCATTTGGACCCAAGAGGAATCGTCAGAAACCTCCTGATATCTTTCAACTATTTCCTTGCAATGTTTTTCTCAAGAAATAGGTTTCACAGGCTTACAGACTCCTGGGTTCATAATAAATGTGTTTTCTACTCAGACTCTCCTCTATCTGGCCTGACGATTCCCCGTCTGCCTCATTCCTTCCTCAAAGAAAAGGTCATTTTAGGTAAAGTCTACCATTACTGACAAAAAGACCAATCATTGGGTGTAATGAAACTCACTAAATAGTGCTTACAAAAAACTGCTACTACTAGAGAACCTGAATATAGCTGTAATAAAGTGTACGTAATAGACAGAACACCTTTCACCACGGTTAAACTCGCCCCCTAAAGAACAACAACACGATGGGTTCCATGCTCATGTTTCTCATTCTGCTGTACAGATCCAGGCCTACCGATGGGATCCACAACAATTAGGGTACGTGAAGGTTCTGGATACGATGTTTAGAGCATATGAAGCTGAATACAATGTATTTAGTGTCGTAGAATTAAGCCGCTCTCGCGCTGTCTGTGAAAGATTGTAACAATGTTGATGATATAAAAATGCAACAGATTTTCAGTAGAATGGTATTGTCTCGTTGCAGAAGGGAAACACGAAGAAGTCGCCACCATGATTCACAGAGTCTCCACCATGGTCTTTGTCTTGGGGCGAGCTTTGGTGTGCAAAAGTGTGACTACATCGAGATGGACATTATAAAAACAAAGCCGGCCCCCTTGTATTTACAGAAACAGTGTTATAGGCTGACACACACACACACACACACACACACACACACACACACACACATACAAGGTTCTTCAGCTTGACTTTGGATGCGCTTGTGACAAGGGCACGGGGCCATTAGTCCTCGTTTGCACACTGCTTGGACAATTTAGCTATTCAAATAGAGCCCGCTTACTGGAAAACAGCTCCTTAATGAAGAGATGGGCCGGGTAATATGCCATGAATCTATTCTTTCCCACACAGTCACAAACACACACCGCCCGTATGCATGCAGAACCATTACGTACGCCAACTCTTAAACACAGAGAAACAGAAACGCGGCGCAATTTTCGCCACGCAAATGAAAAAGGTCAAAATGCAAATGCAAATTTCATCCCGCTCTGCTTTTTAATTATTCTGTCGGGTTCAAAGAGGCTTCATCAGAAAGGAGCCGCTGTGACAAAGGAAGGCCTGAGCTCACAGATAAGCTCAATCTGTGTCTCCTTTTGACACTTTCTCCTCCATACTGAGCCCATCTACACTCCTCTCACACACACACAGCGACACTTAGCATCACCTCAAAGCAAATTACAATGGATCGGCATGAAAGGCGGTGGCGAGGAGATGCTTTAGTAATTACCAGGCGACTTGTGTGGATGTTGAGTCAATGTCTTTAATCTGCGGGGAGCCGTTTTGTTGGCTGATATTTAGTTGGTTCGGGTTGTAGTGCTGAAGGTAAAGATGTGCTCTGCATTATTATAGAAGGATGAAACCAAAAAGGAAAGTTTCACCGGTCTCATTTTACCTACCATGACCTTTGAAAATGAAAATGTTTTCACGAGAAAGACCTTTTGTGCCATTCTAAATCCATTTCATACTCATTACTTATCAAGGTGATTAAATCAGATGAAGGCCACAGCGCACATATTTACAGCAGGGAAAACCTGAGAGTTGCTTAAAGGTTTTGTTTTCCATCAGGCTGCATGTTCTTTCTGGTCTCTATGGGAACCCTGTCCATGACACACCGTCCATGATACCTAATGAACATACTCATAGCGCAGTAGTTAGGAGAGCCCCAAAATATAATGCTTCACAACAATGATCACAACCCAAAATAAAACATTTTAGAATGACTTAAGAGCTAAACTATCGTTCATAATGCTGTGCAGTCACTGACTATTTCTTCAAGGATCGTATTACAATTTCCCTAATGGTGATACAATATACTATTTGCACAATGCATTGTACCACCATTTTTATTTCACTTAGTTGTTGAATTGGGGGGGTGGCAGGGGGCAGGGGGGGGGTCAGTGAGTTGACTTCTTGTAGATGGCGGCTGGCTCAGCCCCATTTTGGAGAAACTGACGGGAATACCGACATAACTTTAAGACAAATAACCAATTAGACTGAATTATAATATATTATGTAGTACAAATATGAGATTTATAATGATCCGTGTATTGAAGTGTGATGAAACTTGACCTAATACCTGATTATTGTTATACACCATTATGACTTTATCAACGTATAAGACGGATTTCTGTGCTGTAAACAGATCTGTGTTTTTATAAGGCACGGCACATCTGGCCACATGCGATGCCACATTAACTTAACGGTTTCATCACTCTCTCTTCTACCGACACGCTCCGTTTAGAGAACGTGTTTCCCCCTCATCGGAAACATGAATCACGGTGTTCCGTTTGGAAACACATCTGCACCCAGGGCCTCTGTTGGCCTCGGGGGACAATGGGTGTCCCGCCATCAGGGTAAAAAAAAAACCTCGGGAGACACAAGGTCACGGAGACGGTCCCGCCGGTGAGTAACCGCAGGCCGGAGGTGGGGAGCGCTGCTGCCGTGTGATTTGCCACATATATCAAGTGTGTTGAGCAGAAAATTGAAATGGAAATGTGGGCCTTGGAAGAGCGCGGCTCCCGTTTAGCCCTGGACCACAGATAATGACTTGTCGTTTCTCTCAGGGGCACGAGCCCTCGCACCGCACGGCGAGGCCTTCACCCATCCCCCACCGCCCCGGCGCTCTCCAACTCCACACTTGTGCTTTCTGCTTCACTCGAATTCTCGCTGCGGCGATTTGGTTTTACGGTGAGGAATATAATAAAGTACTTTAAACGCTTGTTGCTGATGGAGGAACGTTTCACAGTCACGACTCGAGGGCCACAGACTGAGCACCGGGGTTTGCTGTTAAACCCACACAGCTGATGTTGCGCACACTGTGACACCAAAACGTTAGACGAGATGCAGACATTGGATGTGCACGGCTGCTGGCTAGTGTAGAGTTTCTGTTTGGACTCACCAGATGAACAGAAACTGTCTGATTATTGAAGACTGGCGTTTGATGATGAAGGTCTGCGTTTAGTTTGCTCCACCATTCAGCATGGTTGCAGTGAAAGGTGGGGGCATATTTAAAAGTGCGCATTTCCTCTTGGATGTCACTCCGGTTAATAAACAATTGGCGGTCAATAGTGATAATGCCGACCCGCCTGCACCAACGGAGCGCTTCAGCAGTTACTGGATGGATAAGTTCAGTCAAAGAGCGACAGCTGAAAGACGCCTTACAACCACGGGAGGACATTTTCAGGTCTGGAGGCTTTCTGATTAAATGTGGCTGAATGTACCGTGTAGCACAATGTGAAGATGCTACTTGTCATTTCAGGCTAGTTGTTTTAATTCATCACACAAAAGTTCATGTAGGAAATCTTCTAATTACTGTTAATGCTTAAGACAATGTATAGCAACAACACTTAATATAGCAACACACTAATATCTGCAGGTTGTAACGGAGTGCCGCAAGTGTTACATTTTTTTATTTTTCTGTGCCATTGTCTTGAAGTCAATGTGTTTTTTTTTATGTGTTTGGATGGAAAAACCCTCGGCGGCCCTCAGGTGTGGTCGGCGGCGCGGCGCCATCTACCAGGTTGGACTCCAACAACAAACAGCCGTCGCCATGTTGAGAAACCATAGTTCCGCTCCAACGGAGAACAGCATGACGGGAAGCGTCTCCCCCCTTTCTCCTGAGTCGTCAATCAAACACAGAGACAGCGCCACGAGAAAGAATCCCAACCATGTGCAAAAGTAAACTAGGAACTCTTTTATTCTTTTTTAGTTCATTTTATATATCTATGTTTAGATGAGGGTTTTTTTTTTCTTCTACTCGAGTCTTTTAAAAGTTTGTCTTCATGCTAGGTGCAGCTTCGGTGTTGGTACATGCGGGGTTGTGGAGTGTTGTCGGTGGAGGTTTTCACACGTCGGACCCCTGGAGAGACTGGAGAGAACGTGGCTCCGGAAGCCCCCCCCCCACCCACTGGGCGGACCAGGGCTGCCCACTTGCCCCCTCCGGAGTCGCCACAAAAAAAATAGTGTTCCACTACAGGCGGAGCTGCAGAGGAGGAGTGTGACCATCATCCAGGACTCACAAAGGGTTACGCAGAAGCTGTTCAGTTCTTGCTGTGATAGTTTCCATCCGATCATAAACGGGGACGGTTTTTTATCATGACATCACCAGTGGACAATTTTTAGGGCAGTTAAAAGGAAACAGAAAGTAACAACTTCAGAAGCAGGCAGTCGCTTGTACAAAAAAACAAACAAAAAGAGGGGGGACTCTTGTTTGTGAGGGAGCGACATAAAAGGAGACGCCGGGAGTATTGCTTGTGACTTTGTTTTGGGCCTTTTCTTCGAGGTGGGGGGGGGGGGGGGGGGGGGCAGCGCTCTGGAATATCACCGTTTTCTTTGAGGTTTTTTTTCTTCCAATCAGCTCTGTTGGGTTCTCCTTACCTGCTTTTCTAATACTCATAAAACAATCAATTACACTTAAAAAAGGTACATATATGACATCACACGTGCCAGCTGGTGGATGCCACTTTTAGCTGAGGCACCTTACAGTGCATATTTTTTTTTGTGTTTCTTTTCGAACATTGGTGGCTACAATGGGGATGAAGCCTGTTAAAACCCCGGCAGTGTTGGTGCCATGCTTTACGGTGCCCGGTGACTCACGGAGAACCACTTCTACCTCTTCAGTCACTTTTCTAGGATGGGATGAACAGATTTTTGTAGTTCCTTATATACAGAGAATTTGCTGTAAGGCAGCAATAGCAATCGCCGCCCACAATACACACGTGTCCACTGACGGCTACAGATCCACTGAAGAAGAACTGACATTTGAAATTTCCCCCATATGGATTAGAATAAACAGTTTTTGTAGCAATCACTACATTATTCAGTGAATATACAAAAAAAACAAAAGAAATAGTTTAAAACAAAAAAATAGGAAGAAGCTAGAATAGTGGGGCAGAAACACACATGGACATCATCTTTGGTGGAGTATGCTGAAGGACACACACACACACACACACACACACACACACACACTTCCTACAGCTGGGAAAAGGAATTGACTGTTACTTGGTAAATATTTCGTCATTTACAAACTGTAAAACACTTCACACATCGACGCGCTCAGGGTGTAAACGTGAGATCACAGAGGTGTTGCTGGAGATGTAGAAGAGAGGAAATGACATCACACCGTGATACATTTTGGTTGTAACCCGTTGCCGGAGGTCTTAGCCGACGCATTAGCATGCAACGCGCGTGTCTGCCGTGTGCGTTGACGTGGTGGGATTACGGCGTGTTTGCGAGTATCTGCGGCTCCACACAGCGTTAATGTTCCATTAAAGGTTCAACCACAAAGGTGACACAGTTAACCGATCCCAGGAGGTCGGCTCATCACTAGTTTCACTACAGTAGCTTCCCACATCCTCAAATGCCCGATCTTAAGAAAGACAAACAAAACAAATCCCCCCCCCCCCCCTCCTGCCCCAAAACAATCAAAACAACAAACAATTACAACACATTTACAAAATAGAGACAAAGATTCAAAGCTGCCTGTGGAGGAAGATGCTGGCAATCATTCTAAAATCATTCAGTGATGGCAGCGCGGGGCTCTTTTTTTTTTCTCCTGCTCTGCGCGCCTCCCAGTTCAGTTCCCATGCAAAGCCATGGATCGAGGAAAAGATTCAACGTGCAGCACCTCCCAAAGCTTGTCCAGAGACCCGGGCGAGGGGGGGAGGGGCGGGAGGGGCGGGAGGAGTACGCTGCAATGCTTTCGCCTCCCTCACTGTTCAAGTATGAAATGAGAGTGCCTTAAAATAACTTACAGATCGTGTGCGCGGATTAATGATGGAGACGTAAAAAAAAAAAGAGTGCTGAGCTGCTGTGACCTCTGGCCTGCTCTCACCAGTCAGCGAGTCAAACGGCGCCACAGTAGAACGTTCCAATGCAGGGGTCTAAGGAACGGACCACATGACGCGTTCAAATGTTTTAGAGCTTTCGGGTGTTCTCTTTCTTTTAAGCAGTCGATTCAACATGCTGAAACATATTTTTCCATTGTCCGTACATATCGTTTTTTTTGTCCAGCGTTTTTAGGCTACATTTCACCCTAAAGTGGCTACACTGGTGGATCCGAAAAATAGATAAAAACTGCATAATTTCAAATTCCACATCCACGGCATAAAAGCATGGATTCCAGTTTTAAAACAGAAAACCAGCAGATCCATTAAAACCAAATGAAAAGGATGAGCGAGGAGGCGGCGAGGCCGAGGTCCTCTGAGGAATGACAGTGGTGAGCTGTGGGCGGCACGTTTATTTCCACAGTGCAGGACGGAGGTAAGTGCCTCTGTGGGCCGGTTCTCAACGGGGAGAGAAGGGGGGCGGGGGGGTCTCTTGCTTTCAGTCCTGGCTCAGGGAGAGATGGAGTGTGTGTGTGTGTGTGTGTGTGTGTGTGTGTTGGGGGCCGGCGTGGTGCTCAGGAGTCCCTCAGGAGCAGAGGGTGAACTGGTCCTGCTCGCTGGGCTTTTTGACCCAGGCCCCCAGGCCGGCCTTGTGGAAGGCCTTGATGAGCGCCTGCTTGGCAGAGTGGTACTCCGTGGCCACCTGCTTGGCGTCGTGGTACGAGCTGGGCTTCAGCACCTTGATCCACAGGATGGAGGACAGCTGAGAGGGAGAGAGGAGCGGGGATGAGTTTTCTCCCCAACTGCAGAAGAAAAGCTCACGACATCCACTGCAGCTCTGTCTTTTCTACCTCTCTCTATTTGTCTGTCATAAACGAAAGAACAATTCCAATCAGCAAGACTGATTTTAGGGTTCGTGTCTCCAGACATTGACTTTATATACGTGCTTATTTAAAGGGACCATGTACAGCTCAGTCATACATTTCACCATTTGCTGCACTGGTCCGGATTATAGCTTCAGCTAGTTTGCATCTGCAGACCCTCATAACAAGAATAACACATTAATGAACGGTAGTGGATGAAAGACATAATGCAGAAATATAAGTGTTATTTATAAATAAACACAATACAAAGCTACGGACTAGCATATTAAATGCAGGTAGTCATATTTGAAAAAAAAGTAAGACTTTAAGATTTGCTTCAGACTGACTACAGGTGACAAATCTCCGTGGTGGTCCAGAGCAACGAGGCGGCGTGCGGTGCGTCTACCTTGGAGTGCAGGCGCACCCAGCGGCTGTAGAGGGCGTGCTTGCAGAGGCGCGAGGCGCGGCCCATGTCGTCCTTGCCCGTGGTGGCGTTGATCACCTCCAGGGCCACGTCGCCCACCGTCCAGTTCACGCTGAAGTTGGGTGCCTTGCCCGGCTGCCTGGCCTCTGCGTTACTTATTCCTGGAATCAAGGAGCACGAGGGTGAACGACCCGCCGGCCACACGGAGGAAAAAACCTGGTGTCTAATGAATTTTTAAGATTTGTTTTGGAACATAAGCTCAAGGATTTCCTTCATGTGCTGAGACAACTCAATAAGGAAGAACGCTGTCAGCAAGTTTGACATTTTGGAAGTTTGACAGCGTCACGTTATATTAGACAGGAAATGTTTTCCTGTGGCAACAATGTCGACAATTTAAGAACCTTTTTCAGAAAACGTTTTCGAGCTTTCAAGCGGTAAAAGGACTTTGATGAGATAATTATTTTCTCCCTCCATCCTCCAAAGTGTCCGTGGGAGACCTACAGGAATTTAACCTCCTGCTATCAGACGGCATGGATGTAATAAAAAAAATGGATATGGCACAAAACCTGGAAACACATTACTTTTAAAAAAAAACTGCTCCCACAGCAACATTTTTTTGGCTTTTTTTTGTGCTACTGGGTGAAAACAAACAGGGGGATTATGAGGTCAGAGCCTGCTTCCTTCCAGCGAGGCACCGGCCATCAGCCTCCACTGTATGTGAAGCATGAATGGGAGAAATAAGCCATAAATCCCGGTGTCCTGCTCGTTGTGTGTATGTGTGTGCATCAAGCCCATTGGTTCCATTTCACAGCCCTCGTGGCAGAAGATGATTTGAAAGGGATGAAATCCTCGCCGCTCCGACGCACGGCCCTTCACCGCCAAAACGCCTCTAAAGCGGAAAAAGGTTAACACCCATCTCCCCCGCTATGATCTCCTTCATTTAGGGAGCAACCCGGGAGGGAGCACATGGCTTCAGGCCGTGGGATGAGATGCCCCATGGCCTCATCCCACGTGAGGCTTCAGAAGCTTTGTTATTTGGGGGTTCTGCTGACACGGATTGGGTTTTGAATATTATCACTTGTAAAAACTCTAATAATGTTCTGTTAAACTCCTCCCCCAAAGAACAGTTTTCTAATAACTCAATGACGTGTTTTTAGCCTCTCGTGACCAAAACCACCAGTAAGGAAACATAACAGATAAAATCTAAGGACTGTGGTATCCAGCTAAATATCTCACTTCCTGCGGCAGAGCCCATCATTAACTAACTACATTAGTGGATTACAGTTTACGTTAAAAGGCCTCGTAAATGACCAAAGTGTCGACTCGGTCGCGTGGCTAACGTTAGCTAGCTAGCTGCAGATATAAACTCTGCCAGACACGGTTGTTGTTGTTGTTTTCGGTTGGCGGCATGAGTCCTGCTCTACGTGGCCTTTTCAAGTTCAAGCCAATGCTGAAAATGTACACAGTGATGAAGCTATTGAAATTCCACAGGAACAAGGTAAATGTCAGCTCACATCAAACAGAGGGGGGGGGGGGACATAACCGTCTCCACTGAGGTGGATAAATGAGTTTACTGCTCACGATCGCCGTCTTCCTCTCTGATATTTAGACAGACGCAGTTGGATTGCCGAAGATTAACAAGGAGATGCGGCGGCGTGAACACGACCGTGCTATCGCCTCGTTAAAAGTCTCCCAGCGGTAAAGCTTCCTGCCCCACCTGCTCCACATGGAAGCGGCCACTCACCACTGAGCAGCGGCCTGTTGAGAGCAAACTGCTGGGGCAGGTCCTCGATTTCTGCGATGCGCTGGTACATGGCCCTGGAGAGGTGGTCGGCGTGGTAAAGGCTGCCAAGGATGATGCTGGAGAAGTAGATTGGCTCTGTGAAGTAGCTCATCAAAGAGCCCTGGATGCCCACCACGTTCCACCTGCACAGCAGACACACGCACATGAGATAACCTGCAATCTATGCCGACATTTCAGAAATATGCAGCTTTAACCGCTTTCTTGTGTTGATTTTGGCTGCATCTGTGAACTTCATAGCACGCTTCCATTTGAAGGTCTGACTTTCTAAACAGTTATTTTAGAAGATAGTCAAACAGTCCCAGCAGACAAAACCAAATATTGTGGTTCACCTCACAAGACGTTCTACGGCAAAGACAGCGGCAACTGTCCTGAAGTTCCCATGAAACGGCTAACAAAGTGCTTTGATTCTGCATAGTTCACTTCCAGAATGTTTCAGTATCCAATAGTGCCGAGTATGCGTTATGCCTCCCTGCCAAACTCCCTACGTCGGTGGACTTTACCCGCGAATCGCAAAGGGTTGAAACGATGAGGGTTGTGGAGAAGTCGGTGGCGGTAAGGAGGCCATACGAGGCGAGAGATCGAGCTGATGCAGCCAATAGGCTGTTTCTATAGTAAAAGCGCTTCATTACAAATGTTAAATTAGGAGACGCCGTTATTGAGTCAAGACACGAATTACATCCCATTTTGCAGGATGAGTGATCAGCATTTCTTTTATTGTTCATTCCAGGAAATGAGCCCAACGTAGCGGCCTTTTGTCAACGCTGCTTACAGAAGTGTGTGTGTGGCTTCCTTCATCGGCCTCTGCCCAGCTTTGGTCTGTACGAAAAGGACGGAAAGTCTCCTGACAATTGGGAAGTTCAGAGGCTTAATACACGGATACTGTGTGATAATGTGCAACGTGCAGAGGTGGACACACACACACACACACACAGCTGCACAAGCAAACATATTTTAGTGCATAACACACCGATGCAATCTACCACACACAATCACACACAATCCTACAGTCGTGTACACTGTGGGTTATCCAATTTCATTGGTGTATTTCTATGCGGTGTCATTTTCCCATTGACATGCTCTGTGAAGCATCGCCCAAGAAGAGCGAGAGAGAAAAGAAGTTAGATTGAAGACTTACAGGCGGGTGTAACTTACCCTGAAGCCCCCGAGCCATTCATTCATTGCTAAACCATACCATAGTATTGTTATTATTGATTGTCAACTAAAAAGTTATAGTTGTAAAAGATATTACTCATACGTAAGTACATGTGCATTTGATGGGGCCTGTTTTTAATGCACATTTATATATTAGTATGAATTTTAGTGTATGTGGGATTGGCATAAATACTCCATTGCCCGTTCCTAGCAATGAAAAACCTTGTTGCCGAGGGCAACGGTGTGGCTCCATTATGTGTGTGGACATTTGTTTTTGTTTTTTATATAGAGCTCAGTGGAACAAAGGAATACGTGCTTGTATATAGTGTTATAATAACACTTATTCTTCAAATGCATCATAGACATAAGTATAAGGAGTTATATGCATCTTATATGCATTATATGGACATCTGACTTTCATACATATCAGAAAACATAAATGGCATTTAAACAACTTGGATGACGTACACGTGGATTCCACAGCAAGCAGCTGCCGTTGGCGTAAAAATCTGGAAACGGTAAAGTTAAGTAAAGGAATATAGTTTTTGCATGAATGAACCTCTTAAAGTGATTAGAATGCTTTGTCAAAAAGATTATAATATAAATATAACAATGCAATTTATAATACAACACTAACTATGATTATTTTACCTGTTACGAGTGCTTATAACTATAAATATTCAGTGTCATAAACATTATAATGCATTGTTAATAAAAAATGACAGGCGTCGTAAATAGATAGTTTGACCAAATAGGCTACAAGAGGCTTCTTCTACACAGTCAATACTAAAAGCTAGTAGGATGAATACAGTTAGTATTGGTGTTTTTTGGGGGGGTTTGATGATATATTTAGAAATATATTGATTAGCCCGTATCCTTTATAGGCTCTTTAAAATTCCCAAAACAAGACACGGACTATTCTTATTCTCCCTTTTGCTCCAGGCAGACTGTTTGAGAGTGTGTGAAATTACCAAAATGGACCCGGAAGAATGAGGAATATGCGAGCATAATACCCGGGCTACTCAAAAGACACCATTGTCTCCCTATGCAATATTGCCAGAGTGTACGTGTGTGTGTGTGTGTGTGTGTGTGTGTGTGTGTGTGTGTGACAGAGGGCCTGATACTGCGTGTCATAATGCCATCTCAGAATTCATCCGCTGCGAGCAGTAAAACACACATTCAGCACAGTCGAACAGCGTCGTGTTACAACAAACACACATTTTCTTCATCAAAACAGGGTTACACAAATACACCTGTAGAAAAAGCAAACACTCCCAAGGACACACAGGGTATGTAAAAAAGAACCACACACAGATTTATGTTTTTGGAAGCATTCAATTTCATTCCTGCATAACGTCTCTATATTTCCTTGTTGTTATCCAATATTATGCTCTGTGCACACGCACGCACGCACGCACGCACGCACGCACGCACACACACACACACACACACACACACACACACACACACACACACACACACACACACACACACACACACACACACACACACACACACACACACACACACACACACACACACACACACACACACACACACACACAGGAGTCAGCGGGCTCCCAGTCAGCTGTTAAAGAAAGAGGGAAAACAGAGAAATCTCCCTGAAGAGCTTCGCACCTGGAGCTCATGAGCTCATCAGAGCGGCGCCTAGGCAGAGGACGGCCGTGGGGCTGGTCATGTGACCCAAAGGAGACGAGAGGAGAGAGACAACATTGTGTAAAGATGAAAGGAGGGGGGGAGGGGGACCCTCAGAAAAACCCTCCCCCGCTCCGCCTATAGAATAGAGGCCTCGCGGCCAAACGATCCGTCACCACGCGGGACAGCAGCAGGCGGGCGGACGATTTTCTCACCTGGTTAACGGCTGAGTCCCCGAGGGGACGCAGTCAGCCGGGGTGAGACAGCAGTCTTTTTCCCTGTACTCTCCACATCTTCTCGCAACTGCAACCCATTCGTGTTCTCCAGCGCCGCACCAGCTCGCTTACCTCCCGTTTCTCCTCGCTGTCTAGTAAGTACCAGGTGTACGGCCTCCAGCCTACTTTGCCCTCTACTGACTTGGATCTCTATACTTTGAACCGCCGGGAATCCGAACAGCTAGAAGACCGGTAAGACCGGTGGCGCGTCCCCGACTCCGTCGACGTCTCCCCCATCACACACGTTCATCATTCAGTTATTACCCCCCAGGAGGGGGAGGAGGCCAAGCGGGAGGGGAGGTATGGAGAAGTTTCATCGTTCATCACTAGGGAGGCACAGAGTTGCCTTGAGCACAGACAGAGACTAAAGACACCATAGCCTGCTGGGGACGGAGGATCCATCAATCCAGCCGTCCCCGACACGGCGAAAGGAGACAAGGCCGGCATGTAATCTGATTCACCACAGCCCAAGTAAATGGTACAATAAAAAGCACTAATGAAACCATACGGCCGAACATCACGTGGTATGAAAAGCCACATGTTCACGCTGACGCGAGAGCTATTTGGGAGGAGGCAGATTTTTTGCCTTTCATGCAGATTAAATTTGATAAGAAAGCTTCAGGGGGGCTGGTAGGTGGGTTTTCCCAGCTGAATCTTGCTTTTCTGTTTCACAGAGACCTTAGAATGCAGTCAGTCTTCTCGTCGGAAGAAATTGGACTAACAAAAAAAAAACTTAAATCTGTATTTATTCATTCAATGATCCTCTGTGAAATAAACAGAGGACCGCAAAAGCTACAGCTGCTTGTTATGACTGAATAATATTCACAATCTTACTCCCAAGCAGCAGCTGAAGCCACACAGAGACACGATGAGACGGATCACCTTGCGATCTTGTCGCTGCAGGACATGGTGAGTAACCTCTCCCCCTGCAGCACCCCGTCCCAGGTCTGGATGGTGTTGCTGGACCTCACGGGGATGGTGCCCTCCCCAGACTCAATTTTGGTCCTCAACTGCCCGCGTGCTTTCCGGTTGGGATGCCGGTCTCCTTGGTCTGAGAGAAAGGAGCAGGGATGCATAAAAGTGAGGACGTGAGCGCAGCTCTGCTGGACGCTGATGGATCCCCACCGATGCGCAAATGTCCACACAAACCTCAACATGAGGAAACAGAGATTTCAAACAGAGAGAGATGGAAAAATGGCTTCCACAAAAGCCAGACACATTATTTATTATTCTGTTATCAATGTTTTCTACTGTTCCGCCAGCAGGCGCCATCTATTCAGTGACTAATTGAATGTGGCTGTTTTCTATTAAGCCCGCCATGTGCAACGGGAAACACTTTGACAAGAGTAAGAGGGAGGTTAATCAGACAGACAGCGAGTGCGCTGGGCGGGAGGACGACTGATAGAGACAGACAAAGAATGACAAAAAGCTCTAATTACTAGAGCCTCGTTTAAATGCGCCTGTAATGCCTATTTGGATTCAGGGTGAAAATTCTGATTAAATTAAACCATGCGTTGTAGGAAAAGCTGCAAACTGAATTAAATAGAAACCCGCCGTCGTTGCAACTGAATTCTGAAGGCGAGACAAATAAAAAATGGTGAATTTAGGCGGCGATGTACCTTCGACTCCGGCCTCGTGAGGGGAGAAGATCCGGGCGTCTCCGCAGGGCGAGGTGCTGATGTAGAGGTGGAACTGAACGTTGTCCTTTAACCTGTAGCCGCCCTTGTCGCACGGCACGAATATGGACCTCTGGTGGTCCTCCTTGCTGCAACGACAAAGACTCAATGGGCGAAACGGCAAAAACGCAGCTTCACAGCGCGTTCAACGCGGATGGAGACGGACAGCGCGAAGTGAATTACATCCTCCATACGAGTGACCTCCCGCCATCGCGGGCCAAACCGACTGACCCGAGGAAGAACTCCAGCTGGCTGTAGAGGAACCGGATGAGCGAGCGCCGGGCGATGATCTCGGCGTGGCAGTCGTTGAGAGCCAGGCCGCGGTCGCTCATGTACTCGCCGTTGATGCATTTGGTCCCTGTGGAGACACAAATGACCTGCGCCTCCTTGACATCTGTCCCTGATGGGGAGTGAGGGAACAAAAGGCACGTTATTAGAGTGAGTGAGAATTGGTTGTGTGTGAGACTTAATGTGTGTTCAAGCACAAATGGTCTTTTACTACACACAGGTGGCGGCGATGGCCCCCCTCGGGGCAGTGTACCCGTCAGTGTTTTTTAATCATTAATGGCAGCAGAACAAGCTTATAGATTGTGTGTTTACGAGGCAAACGAGAGAAGCGATCGACAGACACACAACACCGTCTGTGGCGTCGCTTTTCATGTTGACAAAGGCTGAGCAGATTAATGAGTTTTGACCACGGCCTCTTCCCCACTGTGAGACCTTGGTAACTCTTATATGTCCATGTTCAGCTCTTAAGTAAAGGAATTTCACACGCGTGTGTCGTTACCATTTGGCATTGATAGTCTTTCCATTCATTTTAGAGGAAACTGAGCAAAATTAATACTTAACATTTCTTTTCTCAATTTCTGTCGGTGAGCCTTTGCAATACCTGAGAATTGATTTTCATTGCTGTATTTTCTACACATGTCATACACGTTTTGCCCCCTGTAACATACCCGTCGTCATAACGACTCCTGCGAGCACTTTCCGTCGTGCGTGGGGGGAGGTGAAGTTTTCTGTCAGCTCACTGAACTTATCCACCACCAGGCGAGACACTGCATCAGCCAGAACCTGCAAACACACACACACACACACACACACACACACACACAGAAACGTGAGCGTTGTTGAAGCTATCCTCCCCTAGAGGACCCTGTACCTGTAACAGTGTTCACAGCCGGCTCCAAACCATAGTCAGAGCACTGAGACCCCCCCTGAGGTCCACGTAACCCGCTCCTCTGACAGTTTGATCACCATCTCCCTCCGGACAGCAAAGCAAAAGCAAACGAACCCCCGAGCAGCGGATGTGAGCAAAGTGTTCGTCTAAACCTGGAGTGAACTTCAGGCGTCTTTAGTTCTTTGCCCCCCCTCTCCTCTCGTTGGCTCTCAATCCGTTGCTAATGGGATGAAATGACGACAAGCAAGAAGAGAGACGACGGCTGGATGACCACGAATGAGAGAGATTATTCCAGTATTACTTCCCTGATACTTTGGAGTCAGCCACTCTTAGCCGGATCATTTGACTTGAACGGCAAGGTCGTCCATAGTGTCACAAGGAGTGTTAATGTCTGGGGCCAAGACGCGGAGAAAAAAACACTCAGGTCCAAAATAATGGATATAATAGATGCTTATTTTTATACTTTCATGCCCAAATGCATTTTTTTGTATTTCTTCAACGTTTTGAGCGTCAACATCCCAAACTCCAAATTACTACACAAAAGTTAACATGTGTTTTTGGAGAAAGCAGGGGACTCAGACCATTTGTCCCCATTAGTTCCTGGCTGCGGGTATAAAATACGGAGCGACGTGGAATTAATAGAGCAATTAGTGGGGGCTCAATCGTTAAAACGGGGTTCTCGTAGAATAAATCAGTTGAAAAGCGGAGAGAGGGAGTAAAGGGAAGCAACGGGGCGTGGAGGGGACTGTTGACAGTGCGTTGCGCTGATTAGCTTTGCTGACTTTGTTATCTCTGTCCACACACTCTGACGCATGAAAAGTGAACCCCGACCACCCTTTATCCCTGCACACCCGAGGTGGGACGCTAACGTTAAACGCCGATGTCTTCTGGTTTAGTTCTGGCTTCATACCACGCTGCTATGTTAAAACCCCATCTCAGTGTTCTCTTAAAGCATAAAACCAAGCAGACCTTCTTCCATGCACTGGATGACACCATGATGGATGGTCTGGGTTCCGTGGTTGAGTTTCTTGGGCTATGCAGGACACGCTTGGGTTTCTGACTCTCTACACATCTATACAGAGAGAAAGGAACACGTTACCTGGGGCAGGTGTAGCTGCAGTCCCTCGCTTGGTATGGGTTGCCGGGACGGCGTCTGGTCGAGCTGCATGTTGAAGAGAGCCGAGAGCGCCGCCTGTGCCGCCCGGGCTTTGGCCAGCTTCTTGTTGCGCCCTGAGCCTTCAAACGTCTGTGCGTCCACCGTTACTGACATCACAAAATTCTTGGCGTGACTCTCGCCGCTCTCAGAGACAAAGTCATACTTGAGGCCTGGCCTGAGCTCATTGAGGATCATGACTGGGTTTTTGCCGCTGGACGGCGAGCTGAACGTTGACGGAGGGGGCAGTGGGGCCTGAACGAGGTTGCTGCCGGGCGGCGTGGGCAGCGGGTACTCCCCCAGGGAGCTCAGGGAGCCGTTACCATTGGAGCCTAGATAGAAGGGTTCCTCGGGTGCGGCCGGGGTTTCGAAGCCGTTGAAGAGCATGTCTGGGAAGTCCGCTTGGTCGGACGTGAAGTCCGTGTTCACCGTCAGCGTCCGCCCCATGGCCAGGTGCGCCTCCGAGGCGTTGGGGAACTGCACAAAGGAGCGCAGCGCTTTCTCCGCCGCGTTAAGCTTCGCCTTCTTCTTGGTCGGGCCCATGCCCTCGAACATCTGCCCGTTGACCTCCACAGTCATGACAAAGACCGGCGCGTGGACCGGTCCCGTCTGAGACAGCAGTTTGTACTGGAGGCCCGGCTTGATTTCGTTCAGCTGCATCAGGGCGTTCTTGGGCAGGACCGGACCCGGCGTTTTCTTGCGCTTCTTGGCGCGGAACTTGGCGTGCGTGTGCCCATTGCTTCCCTCTTCCAAGGGGCGCTTTCGACTGCCCAGGCCGCTTCCATTGGGGAGCTGTTCAGCCACTCCCAACCCGTCTTTGCCGGACACGTTGTCCAGGTTTCGGTTTTCCTTAACATCGGTGCTGCTCGAACCTGCGGTGCCCAGAAAGAGTAACTTACAGCGCCTTCGTTGCAGGATCTTGTAAATGCAAAATTTATAGATTCCTTTATCACTCTTTGGAACTGAACCAATGATTTGTGTTCCGTTATCAAAGCAGGAGAAGCCGTCTTTTAATGTGATTGAACACGTTAACCTTCAGACTATCGATGTAACTACAAATAGTACGTCTAGATACGTCAAGATATGACGAGTCTTTAGAGTTGGTCAACATTCAAAACAGTCTTGGGGCATTTTTGGGACTATATTCTGTATTTTATGTTCAATGAACCGCTTGAAGTTATAGTTGAAGGCTTGTTTTTCTGATGGTCAGGGTAAAGTAGGAGAGAAATTTAACTACTGTCTTTTGTCAGGCTGCACAGTGCAACAAGTCTCAAACACAGCAATGCTCACACGTCACTAAGTGATGCGCACACGCACACACACACACACACACACACACACACACACACACACACGCAGAGCTGTTTCTCATCCGCTCTATAAATTTGTAATTGCTTGAGTGCCTACAGAGGAATAAGTTACATTTTAAGTGTTCGGTTTGAGCTGCAGGTCCTGAACTACACCCTACTGGGGAACACATATCACCGTATCCAGTTAGCAAAGTGGATGGAATATTGGCAAAAATTTTCATTTATAACATCCTTCAGCAAAGGCTTGCTAGGTTACTCCTTGCGGTACTCAGGAGAAAGAGAGGCCGCAGTGTGCATGAGTGGGATTGCAGGTTGGGTTGAGGGGGTGCAGGGGGAAGAGTGCAGGGGGAGGAGCTGAGGACCAGGCAAACAGGAGGATACATCAAAGAGGCGGAAGGAGGAGACTCCACCTACTGCAGGATCCTAAAGTCTTGACTTGTGACACTGATGAGAGGTTCAAATGCTGTGTGCCTGTTTTTCGTAAGATTTGGAAAAGGAAAATCTGAATTCCAAATCAGTTTCTAATGAGGTGCCATTCATAAGACCCTGCGCCTCTGAGATCCCCCCCATGGAGCTTGTCAGAGAAAACAGTGTTTTAGGGTTGCAAAGTGTACCGGCATGCCGTTACAATCTGCATAATGCCACGGACATGTTTTTCAAAATAAAACAAAACAAAAAAAGACACTTTTTTCCAAAGATCAAGAACACATCCTGCATATCCTTCAATTTACGAGAAATATCTGCACAGAAACCATGCTTTGTGTTTCGGCGTGTGCATGCTTTCTCCAAGCAAATGATGATTTTGAAAATGAACAAGAGGAAAGGAGGGGCAGCATCGCAGTGCCGGAGCCCAGGCGGAACTATCACCGATCTAAATGGTGACAGGTGAAATGTGTGTGTGTTGGCCAGCCGGAGCCTTTTAACCACCGCAGATGCTGCGGCACGGTCATTTCTGCTGAGGTGGACAATTTTTATTTTACAAGTTGGGCTCTCAAAATGAATTGTTTTAAAACAACGCAGCATGTAGTGCTGTCACTTGTTATGTTTCTCTGCAGAGGATTGAACACATAACACCTCAAAAAAATTGCCATTGAGTTTAATGCGTGATATTCTTGAATACTGTCAATACCTCCCATGGTAGTCCCTTAATTAGTGTTTAGAGCGAAAAGCCAATCACAGACAAATAGATTGGAGCTCCTTCTCTCTCGGTCATTCGTCACATTTGAACTCATCCCACAGCGTTAAAAAAGCTATTTCTTTTTGTATCAGAACTTCTTGCGGGACAAAAGTTCTCCAAATCGGACCAGAGAACAAAAGCCATCGAGCTGCAGGAACAACACCATGCAATGAGTTGTGGCACGCGCATGCGCTTTGGGTCGTCATGCCAGCGTCTGTGTAATCGGCATCCGTTAAGTTATGCAAAGACAAAACCTTCCATATTGTTGGATCAGTCAGTCAAACTCCTTGTGAAGGCTGCATGAACCAACCACTGCAGAAAGTCACAGTCTTCTCCCACAAGTCATTTTGAAATGCCACTTGTTTGTAGGGCTTTTGATTCGAAAGGATTTGTTTGGTTGGAAAGCTTGTCACATAGAAGTCAAAGCGTCTCCCGTGTTTTCCTGTGGCGAGTGTGACGCCTCAACCGAAGCGGTTCATTTGTATTGCAGGTGAGGAGACTGGGAGGCAGTGACCGCACTGGGAAACGCTGAAGTGTGGGTGGAAACGCACTCAATCATGCCTCTCCGTGCCTTCTGAGGCTCCGTTACTGGGCTCAAACTGAGATTTCCAATTAACTTCTGATAAGCTGGAGAGGAGAGGACATTTGTAGAGGCAATCTGTTATATGACCTGAAGCTTCTCAGATGTAATGATTAGTCTCTGTACAATGGCCTGAGTGTACTCGTGGGGATAGATATATATATAAAGGCTAGATGGCTTACGGCGGAGTGTGGAACGTCCGCGTATGGCGGCCAACTTGCTGCAGTGAGCTCGCTCCCCATAACATTGTGTTGGTAGTGGTGCAGGTACTTTAAATAATAAAATAATAATAACTTGTTCAATTTTCAATCAATTTTTAAATGGTTTGGTTTGTTCTAAACATCAGAGATGCTCGTGGGTGTATGCACTGCTCTGTGAGTTGGTCAGGACAAATGATGGCTTCCATCATGCTGATGGAGGGGCAAGTGGATGAGTGTGATTAGACACATAACAGATACAAAGGGAGACACACTTTTAGGAAACTGTACGGCGTGAGATAACTGCATTGGTATCGCATGTTACTTAATGTGGGATAAGCACTGTGCCAATACTGAGACAGGCCAGCGAAATGCATTCACACTGATTACACGTCAAAGTGGACACTCCAGGGAAGACATGCTGGCGGACAGACAGGAGGGACACAAACACAGATGGACATCTGAAGGTAAACATGGAGAGAGACGGACGGCCTGATGAAGATGGAGAAAAGAAATCAGGAGTCGACTCACTCATATTCTCCTCCTCATCCACATCCATGGCCGCGGGTTTGTTCTGACCCGAGAGCTGCCTCGCCCCCGCTGCACCTGGAGATCAGAGGACACAGGGGGGGAGCAGGGTCACACCAGCACATTCAGAGACCTCGAGTGGCTACAGCGGCGATCAATTTCTCCAAACGCTCCAGCACGCGCACGCACACACACACAAAAGAATGCACACATTGCGCCGTGCGAGGTGTCCGTGATTCAGGCGTATAAATATTCAGAGCCTGAGAGATATCAAGGTGAGGGAGGAGGCCGGGGCTGACAGGCCTTAATAGCAGGAGCAGTCTATTGTGACTTTAATATCCCTCCGATTAGACCTCATTTCCCACTGCCTCCTGGGAGATATTCAGCGAGCGACATGGCCAAGTTACTCCAGTAGCACAGGTGCACACGCACAAGACTCATCCCAAGGTGGAGAGTGCGATTAAAGCTCAATTAAGCAACTTTCTCTCGCTAACAATCAAATGATTTCTTGTTATCTGAATTGTTCGCTCGTGCCGCCGGTTACACACGAAAAAACAACGCTGTAGGAGTTTGTGTGTCTTCCCTTTATTTTGGGCCCCAGCTCCTTTTAGCCAGTTGCCATGTGCACCGTTGAATCCAAAGCAGCAAATGAGTTCTTGGGTCCATGTTTGACATGATTTAAGTCAACAATGACTGGGTGACAGGAATGTCAACTGATGGGGAACAAAAACAGGATCAAACAAAAACAGTGAAAGAAGTAAAAATGATGCATCGCGATCCTGTTACAATGACAATCACGGAAAACGGAAAAAAAATCACAAAGCTACAACATATAATGAGAATATATTAGCATGATAATGCAAGTAGACGCCTTCAGATAACCTTTTTTTCATAGAATCAGCATAAAACATGTTTAAAAATAATCAAATGAAACCACGTACCTAAAGAATACCTACGAAGACTTTGTGCTGATGTTGCACATTTGTGTTAACAGGTGTGCAACATCAGCACAAACTCCTCCGTTGGTAGGGGAAAAACAAATTGATGATTTGTGTCAACCATGAAATTCTTTCAATTTCCGCCTGCTGGTCACAAATCTATTGATCCATTAATGCGCGTCCATGGATAAGTTGCATTACTGGCTAAAAGTAAATGATTAATGACAGAACTAATGGTTGTAAGAAAGCTTCAAATGCATGACTTGCTCCATCGGTCTCCCAAACCAACCACTTAAAAATTGTTGCGTGACATAAAAAGAAAAAGAAAACAAATAGATTCCGTTCGATGAGAGAACGACAAAGTTAAAGCAGCAGAGAGGAAAAAGGGAGTGAGAAGAACGCCGCAAAGAGGAGGAGAGAGAAGAGAGAAAGACGGCATTTTGATACAGAACCGAATGTGCTGATTCTACCCTCTCTCGCTCCCCCTCGTCTTCCATCGGTGGGCCCATTCCTCAGCCAGACACTTTCTTAAGCTAAACTAAATGGGCTAATTAATCTGGGCTAATGGTGGGTGACAGCAAATATGCTAGCACAATTATCAAGCTATTAAAGATTCATATTCCAACCCATAATTGAAAATGAAAAGGTGGGGTAAAGGGAGGACGGCCGGGAGTGGGTACAACCGAGTGGAAGAGTCATTTTTCTCAGGTAGCAGAGGCCACAGCCTCTCCCCCTCCACCCGCCTCCACCCCCCTCCACCCCCACGCTCCAGAACACTCATCCAGCAACCCACAGCCACCACCAGGACCAGATACTTACAGGTTGCCACACTATTTGGTTCAACATATCGGCTATGTGCATATTGGACAGACGTGGGTAACAAATAAAATCATTACATTCAGCTCAAGAGTCAAAGACAGAATGTTGGCAGGAACGGTGTTTTAACCCGCACACGTCTTCTTCCTGCCTCTCGCTCCCTCCAACACACACTGCTGTGCAGCTTAATCAGCGCGCGGCGCCGATGAGCCTGTCAGTTTCGATTCTCCGAGGAGACCGCCTTGCTCATACATCGGCAACTATTCCTGAAATCAGGTGCAATCAGCGGGGAGAGTGTGTGCGTGTGTCTCCAGCAGTACATCTGGAGGTTAATGTCTACGCAGTCCTAAAGGACAGTGGGCTTCAGAAAAAAGACTAACTTTATGTATTGAGGGATATAATTGTTCCCGATTTAAATTAGAAAATAAAGAAATTGGGTGCATTCAGGTGCTGCGCTGTGGGTAAACGAGTGGGTCTCAGTGGATGTGAGTACCTCCAAGGTCATGCTGAACAGAAAAGAAAAATTAGATCAATGTGAATCCCCCCCCTTTTAGAAAATATATCAAGCTGACTGATCATTAATAAAGGAGAAGAAATTATGCATTCCCTAAAGGAGTACCAATTATGCTTTTTCTCTAATATGGTCCATTGCCTGATTCCCCAAAGCCTATTACCTCACATTTGTATCGTTGGAAATATTCACAGCTACAGGGGTTGCTTATAGCTTATTAACTTATTCCAGGACCAATCAAAATGTGATTTAGTTGAGGTATGCATATGTTTTTTTTCCATGCATGCTTGTATTCTTCTACAGAGCTACTGAGTAAACCTCTTCACTACCGGTGGGAAACGGTGACCACTGATAAGAGTAAGCTTTGCTACCGATAGAGAGTTATGCTCTCCTCGCAGCTCATGCACTACTATTAGATCACATTCAGACCGTGAGCAGAGTCCAGACAATTTTGGACATTAAAGTCTGCAAAAGTAAATTGGACATTTGCATGCATGGAGATTTTTAAAGACAGGGTCCTTGGGAAATGTTGCTATGCGCGACCCTTTTCCAAGCAAACAAAACCAAACCAGCGGAGCGTCCCTCCGAAGGGTACTGCGTCATCCAGTTGTGAGACGGCTTTGTTTCAGGTAATACTGAGTGGGAGGCAGGGAGAGGAGAAAGATGAGAAAGAAGATGAAAAACCTCAAATTCAATCTGGCACACTGAGAGGGACTGAGGGGAAATAAGGCGGTTTTGATTTACCTCATTCCTCTCCTGCGCTGTGACGGGGCGATAGAGTATCGCCAACGTGGAGGGAGCAACACGCACCGGCCAACAGGCGGGTGGAGGTGGTTAGGGGGTGGGGGGTGGAGCGGGGGATAGGGAGGTAAAGGTGAGGGAAGAATAGAGGACGAGAGGAATGGGAAAATGCAATCTTATTCAAGTAAAAGTGAATCATTATCTCCTCTAAAACAGAAAGCGATGGAAAGATCTGCCCTTGGGAGGCGTGGGGTTCAAACTAGAGGATAGAGAATGAAGTCAAGTTCATCAAAATCAATTCAGACCAACTTCTGACCATAAAAAACTACAACATTGGAGAGGCACAGGCATAAATAATGAAACTAACCTTTACGAAGTAACGTAAAACTCAAATGCAACACATGAGTATCCTTCTGTAACCACATTGTTACAAGTTCAAAGTAAAAACATGAAAAGTAACTTGGAATGAATGAATGATGCACAGGATGAATACACACTAACCGGACACTTTATTAGGTACACCCGTTCAATTGCTTGTTAACACAAATTGCTAATCAGGCGATCAGAGACTGCACTCCAATGGCCTCCAGTCACCACATCTCAATCCAATAGCTCCTTTGGGATGAGGTCGAACGGGAGATTCATAAATGTGCAGCCAACATATCAGCAGCAACGCTCCCATGTCAATATGGACCGAAGTCTGTGAGGAATGTTTCCAACACCTTGTTAAAAGGAGTGCCTGCCACCCAGAATTAAGGAAGTTGTGAAGGCAAAAGAGGGTCCGACCTTTTACTGGCAAGGTGGCCCCAATAAAGTGGACGGTGAGTGCGTATCGAGCCGTAGTTGGCAGCGATTCATTAGCGGCATTAAGGCAATATTTTCTATCTAACTACGACAGAACCAAAGGGCCGCTGCTACTGAGCCCACTGTCACTGACTGCACTCCACAAAGAAATATCACCTAGTTTAAGGGAAATCAGAGAGGAGCAGACAGAGGCTTCTACATGGTGAGTTTGAAGGATATATTCAGGATTTCAAACTAGTTCAGCAACAAAAAGCAGGCTAAAAAGATTTAGTATTTACCACTACAGTTGTGACCTGGTCTGAGCCGTCTGACGCTTTGCTACAATCTCTGAACAAGTTCTAATTTCTCCTTGCTACATTCAACTCATGTCCAGCAAATAAACCAGGGAATTATTTTAGGAAGATCTCAGAAAACCTATTTATCCTCACCTTTCACTCGCATGTCTCTCCCTGCAGAATAATGGAACTATTTGGGATGCAGCCTGTGATTTATCTACCTGCCCTTTCACTGGAAATGGTAAGGGACGGATCTTAAAGCGCTTGGGACATAGATCCGTCCTCACTAGCTGGGACGCTTCTATAGTGTATCCCTCCAAAACGCTTTCTCTTTGTATGGCTTTTTATTCAAGCTTTCTGCCTACATTTTGCCTTTTTTATTTAGGTGTCAGTCGGCGTGGATTTGTAAAGCCAGTTTCGTCCGGTCCACATGCTGCTGCGGCCATTGGTAGCAATAATGGCTTTCATGAAGCGGACTAGCTTTGATCGGTCCTGGTGTACGATTCACTCCTGACTATATTTGACTTATCTATGTCTTATCTGTAGACTACAGTGCTTTTATCAGAAACACGGCCTCTTTCTCCAATATGAGTTTCATTGTCAGCAAACTCATCGAATCAATTGAAACAAATCAACAGCAGCATTATGTTCCTATTCATCCTCCATTTTACTGCTTTTACCGCATGTTGGAAGAATGGGATGTTTTCTTCATATGTTTAATTAACCGTTGCCCTTCAGACTGACGCATTGAGTCTATATTACACGTAACCTACCGATGGTTCTAGTTTGACCTTAGACAACCCAGTCGTTCCAACATGTGTTCCAAGGCCACTTATATCAGATACCACCAAACGGCGGTAAGCAAGGATGGAATGAAGTCGTCCAATTGGTCCCTTGACGAGATGATGACCTCCGTTTGACTGTGTCATGTCACGGAAAAGGCTCGCTCTTTGGGATGATCACACGCACACACACACACACACACACATACAG